TTACCACAGTAAAGTTACTTTGTGTTGACATAATTTGTGACTAATAGGATAATGGAGAACTTACTGCAGACCCTTCACCACAGTAAAGTTACTTTGTGTTGACATAATCTCTGACTAATAGGATAATGGAGAACTAACTACAGACCCTTCACCACAGTAAAGTTACTTTGTGTTGACATAATCTCTGACTAATAGCTAGGGTAATGGAGAACTAACTACAGACCCTTTACCACAGTAAAGTTACTTTGTGTTGATATAATCTCTGACTAATAGGATAATGGAGAACTAACTACAGACCCTTCACCACAGTAAAGTTACTTTGTGTTGACATAATCTCTGCCAATAGCTAGGGTAATGGAGAACTAACTACAGACCCTTTACCACAGTAAAGTTACTTTGTGTTGATATAATCTCTGACTAATAGGATAATGGAGAACTAACTACAGACCCTTCACCACAGTAAAGTTACTTTGTGTTGACATAATCTCTGCCAATAGCTAGGGTAATGGAGAACTAACTACAGACCCTTCACCACAGTAAAGTTACTTTGTGTTGACATAATCTCTGACTAATAGCTAGGGTAATGGAGAACTAACTACAGACCCTTCACCACAGTAAAGTTACTTTGTGTTGACATAATCTCTGACTAATAGCTAGGGTAATGGAGAACTAACTACAGACCCTTTACCACAGTAAAGTAACTTTGTGTTGACATAATCTCTGACTAATAGGGTAATGGAGAACTAACTACAGACCCTTTACCACAGTAAAGTAACTTTGTGTTGACATAATCTCTGACTAATAGGGTAATGGAGAACTAACTACAGACCCTTCACCACAGTAAAGTCACTTTGTGTTGACATAATCTCTGCCAATAGCTAGGGTAATGGAGAACTAACTACAGACCCTTCACCACAGTAAAGTTACTTTGTGTTGACATAATCTCTGACTAATAGCTAGGGTAATGGAGAACTTACTGCAGACCCTTCACCACAGTAAAGTTACTTTGTGTTGACATAATCTCTGACTAATAGGATAATGGAGAACTAACTACAGACCCTTCACCACAGTAAAGTTACTTTGTGTTGACATAATCTCTGACTAATAGGATAATGGAGAACTAACTACAGACCCTTTACCACAGTAAAGTTACTTTGTGTTGACATAATCTCTGACTAATAGCTAGGGTAATGGAGAACTTACTGCAGACCCTTCACCACAGTAAAGTTACTTTGTGTTGACATAATCTCTGACTAATAGGACAATGGAGAACTAACTACAGACCCTTTACCACAGTAAAGTTACTTTGTGTTGACATAATCTCTGACTAATAGCTAGGGTAATGGAGAACTAGCTACAGACCCTTTACCACAGTAAAGTTACTTTGTGTTGACATAATTTGTGACTAATAGGATAATGGAGAACTTACTGCAGACCCTTCACCACAGTAAAGTTACTTTGTGTTGACATAATCTCTGACTAATAGGATAATGGAGAACTAACTACAGACCCTTCACCACAGTAAAGTTACTTTGTGTTCACATAATCTCTGACTAATAGCTAGGGTAATGGAGAACTAACTACAGACCCTTTACCACAGTAAAGTTACTTTGTGTTGATATAATCTCTGACTAATAGGATAATGGAGAACTAACTACAGACCCTTCACCACAGTAAAGTTACTTTGTGTTGACATAATCTCTGCCAATAGCTAGGGTAATGGAGAACTAACTACAGACCCTTTACCACAGTAAAGTTACTTTGTGTTGATATAATCTCTGACTAATAGGATAATGGAGAACTAACTACAGACCCTTCACCACAGTAAAGTTACTTTGTGTTGACATAATCTCTGCCAATAGCTAGGGTAATGGAGAACTAACTACAGACCCTTCACCACAGTAAAGTTACTTTGTGTTGACATAATCTCTGACTAATAGCTAGGGTAATGGAGAACTAACTACAGACCCTTCACCACAGTAAAGTTACTTTGTGTTGACATAATCTCTGACTAATAGCTAGGGTAATGGAGAACTAACTACAGACCCTTTACCACAGTAAAGTAACTTTGTGTTGACATAATCTCTGACTAATAGGGTAATGGAGAACTAACTACAGACCCTTTACCACAGTAAAGTAACTTTGTGTTGACATAATCTCTGACTAATAGGGTAATGGAGAACTAACTACAGACCCTTCACCACAGTAAAGTCACTTTGTGTTGACATAATCTCTGCCAATAGCTAGGGTAATGGAGAACTAACTACAGACCCTTCACCACAGTAAAGTTACTTTGTGTTGACATAATCTCTGACTAATAGCTAGGGTAATGGAGAACTAACTACAGACCCTTCACCACAGTAAAGTAACTTTGTGTTGACATAATCTCTGACTAATAGCTAGGGTAATGGAGAACTAACTACAGACCCTTTACCACAGTAAAGTAACTTTGTGTTGACATAATCTCTGACTAATAGGGTAATGGAGAACTAACTACAGACCCTTCACCACAGTAAAGTTACTTTGTGTTGACATAATTTGTGACTAATAGGGTAATGGAGAACTAACTACAGACCCTTTACCACAGTAAAGTTACTTTGTGTTGACATAATTTGTGACTAATAGGATAATGGAGAACTAACTGCAGACCCTTCACCACAGTAAAGTTACTTTGTGTTGACATAATCTCTGACTAATAGGATAATGGAGAACTAACTACAGACCCTTTACCACAGTAAAGTTACTTTGTGTTGACATAATCTCTGACTAATAGCTAGGGTAATGGAGAACTTACTGCAGACCCTTCACCACAGTAAAGTTACTTTGTGTGGACATAATCTCTGACTAATAGCTAGGGTAATGGAGAACTAACTACAGACCCTTTACCACAGTAAAGTTACTTTGTGTTGACATAATCTCTGACTAATAGGATAATGGAGAACTTACTGCAGACCCTTCACCACAGTAAAGTTACTTTGTGTTGACATAATCTCTGACTAATAGCTAGGGTAATGGAGAACTAACTACAGACCCTTCACCACAGTAAAGTTACTTTGTGTTGACATAATCTCTGACTAATAGCTAGGGTAATGGAGAACTTACTGCAGACCCTTCACCACAGTAAAGTTACTTTGTGTTGACATAATCTCTGACTAATAGGATAATGGAGAACTAACTACAGACCCTTCACCACAGTAAAGTTACTTTGTGTTGACATAATCTCTGACTAATAGGATAATGGAGAACTAACTACAGACCCTTTACCACAGTAAAGTTACTTTGTGTTGACATAATCTCTGACTAATAGCTAGGGTAATGGAGAACTTACTGCAGACCCTTCACCACAGTAAAGTTACTTTGTGTTGACATAATCTCTGACTAATAGGATAATGGAGAACTAACTACAGACCCTTTACCACAGTAAAGTTACTTTGTGTTGACATAATCTCTGACTAATAGGATAATGGAGAACTAACTACAGACCCTTTACCACAGTAAAGTTACTTTGTGTTGACATAATCTCTGACTAATAGCTAGGGTAATGGAGAACTAGCTACAGACCCTTTACCACAGTAAAGTTACTTTGTGTTGACATAATTTGTGACTAATAGGATAATGGAGAACTTACTGCAGACCCTTCACCACAGTAAAGTTACTTTGTGTTGACATAATCTCTGACTAATAGGATAATGGAGAACTAACTACAGACCCTTCACCACAGTAAAGTTACTTTGTGTTGACATAATCTCTGACTAATAGGATAATGGAGAACTAACTACAGACCCTTTACCACAGTAAAGTTACTTTGTGTTGACATAATCTCTGACTAATAGCTAGGGTAATGGAGAACTTACTGCAGACCCTTCACCACAGTAAAGTTACTTTGTGTTGACATACTCTCTGACTAATAGGATAATGAAGAACTAACTACAGACCCTTTACCACAGTAAAGTTACTTTGTGTTGACATAATCTCTGACTAATAGCTAGGGTAATGGAGAACTTACTGCAGACCCTTCACCACAGTAAAGTTACTTTGTGTTGACATAATCTCTGACTAATAGCTAGGGTAATGGAGAACTAGCTACAGACCCTTTACCACAGTAAAGTTACTTTGTGTTGACATAATTTGTGACTAATAGGATAATGGAGAACTTACTGCAGACCCTTCACCACAGTAAAGTTACTTTGTGTTGACATAATCTCTGACTAATAGGATAATGGAGAACTAACTACAGACCCTTCACCACAGTAAAGTTTCTTTGTGTTGACATAATCTCTGACTAATAGCTAGGGTAATGGAGAACTTACTGCAGACCCTTCACCACAGTAAAGTTACTTTGTGTGGACATAATCTCTGACTAATAGGATAATGGAGAACTAACTACAGACCCTTCATCACAGTAAAGTTACTTTGTGTTGACATAATCTCTGACTAATAGGATAATGGAGAACTAACTACAGACCCTTTACCACAGTAAAGTTACTTTGTGTTGACATAATCTCTGACCAATAGCTAGGGTAATGGAGAACTTACTGCAGACCCTTCACCACAGTAAAGTTACTTTGTGTTGACATAATCTCTGACCAATAGCTAGGGTAATGGAGAACTTACTGCAGACCCTTCACCACAGTAAAGTTACTTTGTGTTGACATAATCTCTGACTAATAGCTAGGATAATGGAGAACTAACTACAGACCCTTTACCACAGTAAAGTCACTTTGTGTTGACATAATCTCTGACTAATAGCTAGGATAATGGAGAACTAACTACAGACCCTTCACCACAGTAAAGTTACTTTGTGTTGACATAATCTCTGACTAATAGCTAGGGTAATGGAGAACTAACTACAGACCCTTCACCACAGTAAAGTTACTTTGTGTTGACAGAATCAGTATGTTACTTACTTAACAGTCTCCAATCATGTTGCTTGTCCAGAAATATTTATTGAATAGTGATTTTTTCTAGAGACCCCTTGTAAGAGTATGCTTTATTTTTAGATTCCAGTCTCAGATGGATGTTGATTCTGGAATAGAAACCATGGAAGTTGATGAAACAGAGACTAAATATGATGTGAAGCGTCGACGGGTAAATACAAACAAATAAATAAAAGAGACTAAATATGATTTGAAGCGTCAATGGGTAAATACATACAAACATATAAACAGAGACTAAATATGATGTGAAACGTCGACGGGTAAATACAAACAAACATATAAACAGAGACTAAATATGATTGAAACGTCGACGGGTGAATACAAAAAAACATATAAACAGACACTAAATATGATGTGAAACGTCAACAGGTAAATACACACAAACATATAAACAGATACTAAATATGATGTGAAGCGTCGGTGGGGAAACAATATAAATAGAGTCTAAATATGATGTGAAACGTCAACAGGTAAATACAAACAAACATATAAACAGAGACTAAATATGATGTGAAACATTGACCGGTAAATACAAACAAACATATAAACAGATACTAAATATGATGTGAAACGTCGACGGGGAAATACAAACAAACATATAAACAGAGGCTAAATATGATGTGAAATGTCGACGGGTAAATACAAACAAACATATAAACAGAGGCTAAATATGATGTGAAACGTCGATGGGGAAATACAAACAAACATATAAACAGAGGCTAAATATGATGTGAAACGTCGATGGGTAAATACAAACAAACATATAAACAGAGGCTAAATATGATGTGAAACGTTGACGGGTAAATACAAACAAACATATAAACAGAGACTAAATATGATGTGAAACGTCGATGGGGAAATACAAACAAACATATAAACAGAGACTAAATATGATGTGAAACGTCGATGGGGAAATACAAACAAACATATAAACAGAGACTAAATATGATGTGAAACGTGGACGGGTAAATACAAACAAACATATAAACAGACACCAAATATGATGTGAAACGTTGACGGGTAAATACAAACAAACATATAAACAGACACTAAATATAATGTGAAAGGTCAACGGGTAAATACAAACAAACATATAAACAGAGTCTAAATATGATGTGAAACGTCGACGGGGAAATACAAACAAACATATAAACAGAGGCTAAATATGATGTGAAACGTTGATGGGGAAATACAAACAAACATATAAACAGAGGCTAAATATGATGTGAAACGTCGACGGGTAAATACAAACAAACATATAAACAGAGACTAAATATGATGTGAAACGTCGATGGGGAAATACAAACAAACATATAAACAGAGACTAAATAAGATGTGAAACGTCGATGGGGAAATACAAACAAACATATAAACAGAGGCTAAATATGATGTGAAACGTCGACAGGTGAATACAAACAAACATATAAACAGAGGCTAAATATGATGTGAAACGTTGATGGGGAAATACAAACAAACATATAAACAGAGGCTAAATATGATGTGAAACGTCGATGGGGAAATACAAACAAACATATAAACAGAGACTAAATAAGATGTGAAACGTCGATGGGGAAATACAAACAAACATATAAACAGAGACTAAATATGATGTGAAACGTCGATGGGGAAATACAAACAAACATATAAACAGAGACTAAATATGATGTGAAACGTCGATGGGGAAATACAAACAAACATATAAACAGAGGCTATATATGATGTGAAACGTCGACAGGTGAATACAAACAAACATATAAACAGAGACTAAATATGATGTGAAACGTCGATGGGGAAATACAAACAAACATATAAACAGAGACTAAATATGATGTGAAACGTCGATGGGGAAATACAAACAAACATATAAACAGAGACTAAATATGATGTGAAACGTGGACGGGTAAATACAAACAAACATATAAACAGACACCAAATATGATGTGAAACGTTGACGGGTAAATACAAACAAACATATAAACAGACACTTAATATAATGTGAAAGGTCAACGGGTAAATACAAACAAACATATAAACAGAGTCTAAATATGATGTGAAACGTCGACGGGGAAATACAAACAAACATATAAACAGAGGCTAAATATGATGTGAAACGTTGACGGGTAAATACAAACAAACATATAAACAGAGACTAAATATGATGTGAAACGTGGACGGGTAAATACAAACAAACATATAAACAGAGGCTAAATATAATGTGAAAGGTCAACGGGTAAATACAAACAAACATATAAACAGAGTCTAAATATGATGTGAAACGTCGATGGGGAAATACAAACAAACATATAAACAGAGGCTAAATATGATGTGAAACGTCGATGGGTAAATACAAACAAACATATAAACAGAGGCTAAATATGATGTGAAACGTTGACGGGTAAATACAAACAAACATATAAACAGAGTCTAAATATGATGTGAAACGTCGATGGGGAAATACAAACAAACATATAAACAGAGACTAAATATGATGTGAAACGTCGATGGGGAAATACAAACAAACATATAAACAGAAACTAAATATGGTGTGAAACGTCGATGGGGAAATACAAACAAACATATAAACAGAGGCTAAATATGATGTGAAACGTCGACAGGTGAATACAAACAAACATATAAACAGAGACTAAATATGATGTGAAACGTCGATGGGGAAATACAAACAAACATATAAACAGAGGCTAAATATGATGTGAAACGTTGATGGGTAAATACAAACAAACATATAAACAGAGGCTAAATATGATGTGAAACGTCGATGGGGAAATACAAACAAACATATAAACAGAGGCTAAATATGATGTGAAACATCGATGGGGAAATAAAAACAAACATATAAACAGACACTAAATATGATGTGAAACGTGGACGGGTAAATACAAACAAACATATAAACAGAGACTAAATATGATGTGAAACGTTGACGGGGTAAATACAAACAAACATATAAACAGACACTAAATATGATGTGAAACGTTGACGGGGAAATACAAACAAACATATAAACAGAGACTAAATATGATGTGAAACGTCGACGGGTAAATACAAACAAACATATAAACAGAGACTAAATATGATGTGAAACGTCGAATGGTAAATACAAACAAACATATAAACAGAGACTAAATATGATGTGAAACGTCGACGGGGAAATACAAACAAACATATAAACAGAGGCTAAATATGATGTGATACGTCGAATGGTAAATACAAACAAACATATAAACAGAGACTAAATATGATGTGAAACGTCGACGGGGAAATACAAACAAACATATAAACAGAGGCTAAATATGATGTGAAACGTCGATGGTGAAATACAAACAAACATATAAACAGACACTAAATATGATGTGAAACGTCGACGGGTAAATACAAACAAACATATAAACAGAGACTAAATAAGATGTGAAACGTTGATGGGGAAATACAAACAAACATATAAACAGAGACTAAATAAGATGTGAAACGTTGATGGGGAAATACAAACAAACATATAAACAGAGGCTAAATATGATGTGAAACGTTGATGGGTAAATACATACAAACATATAAACAGAGGCTGAATATGATGTGAAACGTTGATGGGGAAATACAAACAAACATATAAACAGAGGCTAAATATGATGTGAAACGTTGATGGGGAAATACAAACAAACATATAAACAGAGACTAAATATGATGTGAAACGTCGATGGGGAAATACAAACAAACATATAAACAGAGGCTAAATATGATGTGAAACGTTGATGGGGAAATACAAACAAACATATAAACAGAGACTAAATATGATGTGAAACGTGGACGGGGAAATACAAACAAACATATAAACAGAGGCTAAATATGATGTGAAACGTCGATGGGGAAATACAAACAAACATATAAACAGAGGCTAAATATGATGTGAAACGTTGATGGGGAAATACAAACAAACATATAAACAGAGACTAAATATGATGTGAAACGTTGACGGGTAAATACAAACAAACATATAAACAGAGACTAAATATGATGTGAAACGTCGATGGGGAAATACATACAAACATATAAACAGAGACTAAATATGATGTGAAACGTCGATGGGGAAATACAAACAAACATATAAACAGAGGCTAAATATGATGTGAAACGTCGATGGGGAAATACAAACAAACATATAAACAGAGGCTAAATATGATGTGAAACGTCGATGGGGAAATACAAACAAACATATAAACAGAGGCTAAATATGATGTGAAACGTGGACGGGTAAATACAAACAAACATATAAACAGAGACTAAATATGATGTGAAACGTGGACGGGTAAATACAAACAAACATATAAACAGACACCAAATATGATGTGAAACGTTGATGGGGAAATACAAACAAACATATAAACAGAGGCTAAATATGATGTGAAACGTTGATGGGTAAATACAAACAAACATATAAACAGAGGCTATATATGATGTGAAACGTCGATGGGGAAATACAAACAAACATATAAACAGAGACTAAATATGATGTGAAACGTCGATGGGGAAATACAAACAAACATATAAACAGAGACTAAATATGATGTGAAACGTCGATGGGGAAATACAAACAAACATATAAACAGAGGCTATATATGATGTGAAACGTCGATGGGGAAATACAAACAAACATATAAACAGAGGCTAAATATGATGTGAAACGTCGATGGGTAAATACAAACAAACATATAAACAGAGGCTATATATGATGTGAAACGTCGATGGGGAAATACAAACAAACATATAAACAGAGGCTAAATATGATGTGAAACGTTGACGGGTAAATACAAACAAACATATAAACAGAGACTAAATATGATGTGAAACGTTGATGGGGAAATACAAACAAACATATAAACAGAGGCTAAATATGATGTGAAACGTCGATGGGTAAATACAAACAAACATATAAACAGAGGCTATATATGATGTGAAACGTCGATGGGGAAATACAAACAAACATATAAACAGAGGCTAAATATGATGTGAAACGTTGACGGGTAAATACAAACAAACATATAAACAGAGACTAAATAAGATGTGAAACGTTGATGGGGAAATATAAACAAACATATAAACAGAGGCTAAATATGATGTGAAACGTCGATGGGGAAATACAAACAAACATATAAACAGACACTAAATATAATGTGAAAGGTCAACGGGTAAATACAAACAAACATATAAACAGAGTCTAAATATGATGTGAAACGTCGACGGGGAAATACAAACAAACATATAAACAGAGGCTAAATATGATGTGAAACGTTGATGGGTAAATACAAACAAACATATAAACAGAGGCTAAATATGATGTGAAACGTTGATGGGGAAATACAAACAAACATATAAACAGAGGCTAAATATGATGTGAAACGTCGACGGGTAAATACAAACAAACATATAAACAGAGGCTAAATATGATGTGAAACGTTGATGGGTAAATACATACAAACATATAAACAGAGACTAAATATGATGTGAAACGTCGATGGGGAAATACAAACAAACATATAAACAGAGACTAAATATGATGTGAAACGTCGATGGGGAAATACAAACAAACATATAAACAGACACTAAATATGATGTGAAACGTCGACGGGTAAATACAAACAAACATATAAACAGAGACTAAATATGATGTGAAACGTTGATGGGTAAATACAAACAAACATATAAACAGAGGCTAAATATGATGTGAAACGTTGATGGGGAAATACAAACAAACATATAAACAGAGGCTAAATATGATGTGAAACGTCGATGGGGAAATACAAACAAACATATAAACAGAGACTAAATATGATGTGAAACGTCGATGGGGAAATACAAACAAACATATAAACAGACACTAAATATGATGTGAAACGTTGATGGGGAAATACATACAAACATATAAACAGAGACTAAATATGATGTGAAATGTTGATGGGGAAATATAAACAAACATATAAACAGAGGCTAAATATGATGTGAAACGTCGATGGGGAAATACAAACAAACATATAAACAGAGACTAAATATGATGTGAAACGTCGATGGGTAAATACAAACAAACATATAAACAGAGACTAAATAAGATGTGAAACGTTGATGGGGAAATATAAACAAACATATAAACAGAGGCTAAATATGATGTGAAGCGTCGGTGGGGAAATACATATAAATAAAGTCTAAATATGATGTGAAACGTCGACAGGTGAATACAAACAAACATATAAACAGAGGCTGAATATGATGTGAAACGTTGATGGGGAAATACAAACAAACATATAAACAGAGGCTAAATATGATGTGAAACGTTGATGGGGAAATACAAACAAACATATAAACAGAGGCTAAATATGATGTGAAACGTGGACGGGTAAATACAAACAAACATATAAACAGACACTAAATAAGATGTGAAACGTCGATGGGGAAATACAAACAAACATATAAACAGAGACTAAATAAGATGTGAAACGTCGATGGGTAAATACAAACAAACATATAAACAGAGGCTATATATGATGTGAAACGTTGATGGGTAAATACAAACAAACATATAAACAGAGGCTATATATGATGTGAAACGTCGATGGGGAAATACAAACAAACATATAAACAGAGGCTAAATATGATGTGAAACGTCGATGGGGAAATACAAACAAACATATAAACAGAGACTAAATAAGATGTGAAACGTTGATGGGGAAATATAAACAAACATATAAACAGAGGCTAAATATGATGTGAAACGTCGACAGGTGAATACAAACAAACATATAAACAGAGGCTATATATGATGTGAAACGTCGATGGGGAAATACAAACAAACATATAAACAGAGGCTAAATATGATGTGAAACGTCGATGGAGAAATACAAACAAACATATAAACAGAGACTAAATATGATGTGAAACGTCGATGGGGAAATACAAACAAACATATAAACAGAGGCTAAATATGATGTGAAACGTTGACGGGTAAATACAAACAAACATATAAACAGAGACTAAATATGATGTGAAACGTGGACGGGTAAATACAAACAAACATATAAACAGAGACTAAATATGATGTGAAATGTCGACGGGTAAATACAAACAAACATATAAACAGAGACTAAATAAGATGTGAAACGTTGATGGGGAAATATAAACAAACATATAAACAGAGGCTAAATATGATGTGAAACGTCGATGGGGAAATACAAACAAACATATAAACAGAGACTAAATATGATGTGAAATGTCGACGGGTAAATACAAACAAACATATAAACAGAGACTAAATAAGATGTGAAACGTTGATGGGGAAATATAAACAAACATATAAACAGAGGCTAAATATGATGTGAAACGTCGATGGGGAAATACAGACAAACATATAAACAGAAACTAAATATGGTGTGAAACGTGGACGGGTAAATACAGACAAACATATAAACAGAAACTAAATATGATGTGAAACGTTGATGGGGAAATACAGACAAACATATAAACAGAGACTAAATATGATGTGAAACGTTGATGGGGAAATACAGACAAACATATAAACAGAAACTAAATATGATGTGAAACGTTGATGGGGAAATACAAACAAACATATAAACAGAGGCTAAATATGATGTGAAACGTCGATGGGTAAATACAAACAAACATATAAACAGAGGCTAAATATGATGTGAAACGTCGATGGGGAAATACAAACAAACATATAAACAGAGACTAAATATGATGTGAAACGTTGATGGGGAAATACAAACAAACATATAAACAGAGACTAAATATGATGTGAAACGTTGATGGGGAAATACAGACAAACATATAAACAGAAACTAAATATGATGTGAAACGTTGATGGGGAAATACAAACAAACATATAAACAGAGGCTAAATATGATGTGAAACGTCGATGGGTAAATACAAACAAACATATAAACAGAGGCTAAATATGATGTGAAACGTCGATGGGGAAATACAAACAAACATATAAACAGAGACTAAATAAGATGTGAAACGTTGATGGGGAAATACAAACAAACATATAAACAGAGGCTAAATATGATGTGAAACGTCGATGGGTAAATACAAACAAACATATAAACAGAGGCTAAATATGATGTGAAACGTTGATGGGGAAATACAAACAAACATATAAACAGAGGCTAAATATGATGTGAAACGTTGATGGGGAAATACAAACAAACATATAAACAGAGGCTAAATATGATGTGAAACGTCGACGGGTAAATACAAACAAACATATAAACAGAGACTAAATATGATGTGAAACGTTGATGGGGAAATACAAACAAACATATAAACAGAGGCTAAATATGATGTGAAACGTTGATGGGGAAATACAAACAAACATATAAACAGAGGCTAAATATGATGTGAAACGTCGACGGGTAAATACAAACAAACATATAAACAGAGACTAAATATGATGTGAAACGTCGATGGGGAAATACAAACAAACATATAAACAGAGACTAAATATGATGTGAAACGTCGATGGGGAAATACAAACAAACATATAAACAGAGGCTAAATATGATGTGAAACGTTGACGGGTAAATACAAACAAACATATAAACAGAGACTAAATATGATGTGAAACGTCGATGGGGAAATACAAACAAACATATAAACAGAGACTAAATATGATGTGAAACGTCGATGGGGAAATACAAACAAACATATAAACAGAAACTAAATATGGTGTGAAACGTGGACGGGTAAATACAAACAAACATATAAACAGAGACTAAATATGATGTGAAACGTGGACGGGTAAATACAAACAAACATATAAACAGAGACTTAATATGATGTGAAACGTCGACGGGTAAATACAAACAAACATATAAACAGAGACTAAATATGATGTGAAGCGTCGATGGGTAAATACAAACAAACATATAAACAGAGACTAAATATGATGTGAAACGTTGACGGGTAAATACAAACAAACATATAAACAGAGACTAAATATGATGTGAAATGTCGACGGGTAAATATAAACAAACATATAAATAGAGACTAAATACAGTCTTCACGCTTAACCACAAGTCCTACGGCATTGGCTTGTAAAATTGCTTTCGGACTTGTAAAATTCTTCTCTACAAGCCAACAGAATCCAACTAAAATTTAAAAAAAACTGAGCTTCTGGCTTGTGGACTCAAAAGTTAAGCGTGAAGGCTGTAAAATATGATGTGAAACATCGACAGGTAAATACAAACAAACATATAAACAGAGACTTAATATGATGTGAAATGTCGACGGGTAAATACAAACAAACATATAAACAGACACTAAATATGATGTGAAACATCGACAGGTAAATACAAACATAAGTATAACAAAATTGAGAATGGAAATTGAAACATGCTTATAAAGAAACCATCAACACACCAGAGACTGAATATGATGTTTGAATTTAACTAATATACAAAACATACATGGATTTAGTTTACAATTATCAATTAGAAAATTATTGACAAAGTTAGTTTAGGGAATCTGCTTGTGGCAGAGGAGAAATAAGATGTTTGTTTGATAGACTTAAGGCAAAGTAAAATATAGGTACTGTAGGGTTAATTTTAAGGCAATGTAGATTAATGGTTGTCCTCCAAATGTAAAGACACATCTTTTGGTTCATTTTGTATTTCTCATTGATATATATCCCACCTCTATTGTTATACTTGTTGTGACAGATAAAATGCTGACAAGACATGTCAGAGAACACTTAATAAGAAATAACAGAAACATGCAAATTTTTATAAAAGATAACGAGGTTAAGTAACCACTAAATGTATTGTGAAATACAAATATTTTCTATTAGTTTGACTATTAATATAAACTAAATAATCATGTGATATTTCAGGAGGTCGGTGCTGAAGCTAATGAAGAACAAATGTTAAGTGCAATAAGGTCGATATTCCTGGTGTCCTGGAAGGAAAGTTCATCTGATACGCTTCATTTACCACAACTGAGCGACTCAGTTGACCAAGGTTAGTATTGTAGGTTAAAAGGTTATGTATGTTAGACTATAGGTTAATTTCATCAGTGCTCATTGGCAAAACAAATTCTGGAACAGGCATGTGGAGACAATGAAGATAGTCCATAGGCATACAATGATTAATATAGAGAAAAAACAAAGCGTCAAAAAGTGTTGAGTGTGCAAGTCTTATGTAGACATGTTTGCATGCTCCCTGATATTGGACAACCACTTTGAGTTAATTAACATTTTATAAATTCAATAACAAGGTCTTCATGGTAAAAATTTTGAAGCCACACGTCGGCTGCTCATTTTTCAGAAAATATTGAAAAGATTCTATTTTTGCCAAAGTAGAAATTTTTATAGGCCTGATGAAAATTTTAAAAGCTTTGACTGGTGGTGGCCAAGTTTGAATACTGTATAAAAGCACTTCATCTCCATAAAAAAAAATGTCACTTAAAAGACTGTTATCAATATTTTGTACAGGTTGTATAGATTATAAAGATTTGGTAAATGAGACAGTAATGGAAGTTTTGTTGAAGATAAGAGAAAGCTCTGATAATCCTATCCTGAAACTTAGAACTGTATCACCAAGGAAACCAGGCTCCAGTCCAAAAACGTAAGTCTCCACCCCAAACAATTGTATCACCAAGGAAACCAAGCTCCAGTCCAAAAACGTAAGTCTCTAACCAAAACAATTGTATCACCAAGGAAACCAGGCTCCTGTCCCCAAAAACGTAAGTCTCCACCCCAAACAATTGAATTTCATTGGAAATAAGTCGTATGTAAAACACTGAAAAATTATAACAAAATGTACACTCAATAACAAAATGTACTGTACAACAGGTATTTCATAAACAAGAAAAGGAAAAATTCCCTGATTGTCATTAATCTTTGTATACATTTTTAGGCAGTTAAGCTGCATTATGCGAGCACCCTAGATTTATGTTCTACCCAATAAATGCTGAAATACATGCCATTGTTATTATCTTGCTGGCTATTATGTTATTTATAACTAATTGAACATTTTTTTCATACTTTTAATTCTGGATTACAAAAAATATGACCAGAAAAACCTTAAATGATCGTCGAACCACCCAAAGTTTTGAAGTTGCACATATATAGGAAGTAGTGCTCAATAGAAATCTGTATGTAGTTTATTATCCCCTGTGCTTTTGGCTAAGATGTCAAAGAACAATTGTATGAAATATTTCATCAATGAAAATCAGTAATTACAAGTTGTTTATATTTAACAAATGGCAAAATGCGCATGAATATTGTTCATGTACAACAAATCTCTATGATAGAGGAAATATAGTTATATATTTAAGTTGGCAGTAATTTTAACTTATCTTGCCAAATAAGGTTGTTGTTATTTTATGAATGAAACGAGGTCATGAAACAGATCTGGAAATCGACGTTGATGGGATGTTTTAAGTTATGTGGACAACTCGTCGCCGAGACAAGTCGGACCGAATCCACTCGAACCGTCTAAGAAGACAAATCGGACAGCTTTTCAGATTTTCTTAGGGTTTCATAAAATGTAAGACTAACATGTCTAGCGGAGCCATAATCTTTTGTTTGTGCATTGGGGTCTATTTAGGGGTATTTTTAGGGGCCTAAAGAAGGGAGGGGTTTACTGAAGAACCCTATGGGATTTTATTATTTTAAATTTTCAAATGTCTATTTCTCGAAAACAGTAAGTGATAGACACACGTGGTCTTCAGTAATAAGAACAGGACAATAAAACAAATAAAATAAAATATAGGATGAGTCCCTGGGGATCGTCCCAACCCCCTTCAATTTGAAAATGTGCTTTTATCTTGAAAACGGTCATGATCCTCACCCTTAAACCATATATATACTTGTATGGGACAATAAAACAAATCAAATGAAAATAATTTGGGGGAGTCCCCAGTGTCACCCCATCCCCTTCTGTTTAAGAACTTGTTAATGGTCGAGATCCCCACCCCTTAACCATATATATTCATGTATGGGACAATATAACAAATCAAATGAAATAAATGGGGGAGTCCCTTAGGTCACCCCACCCCTCCTGTTTCAGAACTGTGAAATGGTCGACATCCCCACCCCTAAACCATATATATTCATGTATGGGACAATATAACAAATCAAATGAAATACATGGGGAGTCCCTGGGGTCACCCCACCCCCTCCTGTTTGAAAACTTGGAAATGGTTGAGATCCCACCCCTAAACCATATGTATTCATGTATAAGACAACAAAACAAATCAAATGAAATATAGGGGGAGTCCCTGGGGTCACCATACCCCTTCCTGTTTAAGAACTTGTAAACGGTCGAGATCCCCACCCCTAAACCATATATATTCATGTATGGGACAATATAACAAATCAAATGAAATATATGGGGAGTCCCTGGGGTCACCATACCCCTTCCTGTTTGAGAACTTGTAAACAGTTGAGATCCCCACCCCTAAATCATATATATTCATGAATGGGACAATATAACAAATCGAATGAAATATATGGGGAGTCCCTGGGGTTGACCCACTCCCTCCTGTTTGAGAACTTGTAAACGGTTGAGATACCCACTCCTCAACTATATTTATACCTGTTCGTCGTTTCAAAAAGATTTGAATGACATACAGGGTCACATATATATGCATATCACTTTACTAGACCTGAAACCAATATGTACTGGACTTTGCCCAATGTCAGGCGACCATGGGAATGACGAATTATGGGAGCTTTGTTTGGGAGACTTCGTAACGGCATCCTGTTACAATTATTTCTTATTTATTTTTAAATTTTATTGATGCAAAAAATGAGTCTAGGTTAATTGAATTTACTTTAATTGTTTTATTTCTGGGCCTATAATTATCATTTATGGCTCATTTTAAAGAAAACATATAAATCTTTCAAGCAGTGTAAAGCCCAAGATTGATTGACCAACAACTGTTTTATAATCACCTGTCATTTTATACCAAACTTGGTATGGAGTGACATCATGGACTTGGGGTGAAGATGGGGGTCGTTTACATTGATATATGCGTTGCTTTTGAAAACCTTGATGAAATATTAATTAATTTGCCTTAATAATCAATTCATTAAATAAACATAAATGTACAATATACGAATGTTTAATGTTAGTTCTTTCAAATTTTTAAAAAAAATGAAGCAAAACTGCCACAGTTTTCATAATTACGTTTGCCTTAGTTAACTGCCTACAGCGCTTACAGTGCTTTGATTCTTAAAAGAAACACTTTAACTATAGCTAGTATCTTCAATATGCTATCAGGAAAATCAGAATTATTTCGTCACTAATTCTACCTTACAACACCAACATTATTACATGTTTGATGGTTTTATAGTGGTGGACTACTTCTGTTGATTAGTATCAAGGATAATTTGTCAATGAGAATCGGATTCCATACATTAACTTCTTTCATTTCTTAGTTGTGAAAGATAACAGTAATGTTAACAGATTAATTATGGACCAGAACATTAATGTAATGTTGTATTTATTTATTTAGATCTTTAGCCCCTAGTTTACAAATACGATGAGAATTTAAGTATGAAGCAGAGACATTAATGTTATATTGTATTTATTTATTTAGATCTTTAGCCCCCAGTTTACAATTACGACGAGAATTTAAGTATGAACCAGAGAAATGTAAGGATACAGATTTGATAAACTATTTACTGGACAGCTATGATAGAGTGGCTATTGAAGAAAGAACAGCTCCTAAGGTATATAGGAAGTCTGCAAAAATTTATAAACTATATGAAAAGCAATGGTTTCTTTATCAATATTGGTATACTATAATCACTGCCATCTCATATATGATAAAGTGAAATGACTCGCACTAACAATTTCTACGTTCGTCCTGAATATGCATAAATATAATTGCTACATGGAATTAAGCAAACAGCCATCAATCTATCAAATCCTAGATGTAAGGTGTAACCTCACTGCATTAGTAATATCCTTTATTTTTTAAGTTAAATTGGATAGATATCTACATAATGAACCAACAATGACTCTTTAAGTGAGAGGCCATTATCTGTATCAGAATTATATAACAGTCCTGAGCCATCTCACACAGTCAAAATATTGAGACATTATTTTGCATTGGTTTAAAAGCAATTTGAAGGTGAAATTCACTATTTACTTATTTGCATCAATGTTACAGAGAGCAAGTATGCCACCTATGAGTACAATGTTATCTTCAGCCAGGAACCAGTGTGTATGTCATACAGCAATGGTTTTACAAGGAGTTTTTACTAGACCAAGGTAGGTTTGTATGAGGGTGAATATGTCATACAGGGCTCACACTTCTTCAGAATCATAGGGAGAAGTGGTGAGAATTGAAAGAGAAGTGGTCGTTCTCTCGGGGCGCTACAATGTTTGGATTTTACTATAACATAAAGGGCCATATGTATCTTTTTTTTTTATTTTGTTTAATTCATACCTGGGTATACAATTAAAGCAACATTTCAGTTTCAAAGTTTATCATGTCTAGTTGCACAATTATATTAGCCCTCTTGTCATAAAGTACCAACTAAATATCTAGCACTACTAATAAAAAAGTACTTTTTAGCTCACCTGGCCAAATGGGCCAAGTGAGCTTTTCTCATCACTTTGGAGTCTGTTGTCATCGTTGTCGTCCGTTAACTTTTACAAAAATCTTCTCCTTTGAAATTACTAGGCCAAATTTAACCAAACTTGGCCACAATCAATATTGGGGTATCTAGTTTAAAAATGTGTCCGATGACCCCGCCTGCCAACCGACATGGCTGCCATTGCTAAAAATAGAACATAGGGTAAAAATGCAAGTTTTGTCTATTATTTTGAAAACCGTTATGAAAAGAAAAAATCTGACTGAAGCAAAAATGTTCAGAATTTTCAGCTGTACCAATTGTCCTTATACGTCTAAATTGTCAAACGACTTCTTATAGGAGTTATTGCACTTCAATGACAAATTTAATCATTTTTTTCTAATTTTTGCCTATTATTTTGAAATTATAATAGATACAGAGAAACATTACATTGCAAATAGGATCAGCAAGACAAGTTCTAGAAGTAAATTCACATTGTAGAAATCTTCAGACGACTATTTATTAGAGTTAAAGCCCTTTGATGATGATTTTTACCAATCTTTTACGTTTTTGCTGTATATCTTAAAAATCATAATAGATAGATAGAAACTTAAATAAACAAAAATTATCAGCAAGACAAATCTGCAATTATTACAATACGGAGGAAATCAACTGACAACTCGATTTTTACCAATTTTTTTATGTTTTGCCTAATATAATAAAAATTATAATAGATAAATAGACACTTTAAATCACAAAAATGATAGGCAAGGCAAGATCTTTTCACAAGTCAAATTTTGCCAATATAGTTAGTAGATTGTCACTTTTGTAGGAGTGATTGTCCTTAAATGAGTTTTTTTTTTTACCCTGTTTTGTGCAAAAACTAAAGAAGATACAGAGAAACTTCAACTTCACTCAGAAAGTGAACAGTCTAAATGATCAGCAATACAAGATTAACAAAACAGATTTTTGTCATGAATTCTATTCTCGTCTAGGTGTAATACCATCAAATCATAGTATGTCACATCCGGTTGTATACAAGGGTTGAAAAAAATACTCACTTGAATTTGACAGTTGTGGGAAATTAATCCTACATTTCATTGCATTAAAAAAATTCATATACATGAACATATATCTTGGGTGCTTCAAAGCACCATTTTTTGGGTAAAGATTGCATGAAATACAATCAAAACCCTATGGTTCTTACTTGATATCTAAATCTTCCAATGTATATTACTACTTTTGAGGTACACATAATATAGTGCATTGATCATATATATCATTGTAAACATCCTGTCCATGAACTTTTCCAGAAATTTATCAATGAAAAATATTCTCAGATATTCAAGTTACAAAATAATGTTATACTTGTCAAGAAAATTACATAACTTGTGCAAGGTGCATTAATCTTATATCTGTTCTAAAAATATCAATGATGTCATTGTTCAAGTAATCTTAAAATTGAAGTTATCTTTCTTTGTCCATATATATTTGTAGTTGAATCAACTACAACCAATGTTTTGACAATGCAATGTTTAATTTTACTTTCCACTAATAAATTAAAGCAACCTTTACCCTTCAGTGCTTACAAGCACTTTGATTTTTATTTGCTGTTTCTATAGAATATTTTGGAAACTTGAGGTTACATGGTTACTAAAGCTTGTACAAAGGAAAAAAAGGGTTGAAATATGATTGGTTAATTTCCAGTGATGGTTATTTTCTTATATGCAATGAAATGTTATGTGAAATTTTGTCCATAGTACTGGACAGGATAAAAATTTACTCATGCCAAGTATTTCTTTATTTGAAACAAAGATAAATTCTGCACAATTTTTTGAAAAGTGCAAATTTAACAAAGACTAATCAGTCAGGGGCGTTACTTAAACAAGTAACTTTTTTTAGTTACTTATATAGGTAATTTTTGTTTTTAAAAAATATAAAATTACTCAATAGAGTTATTTTAAATTTCAATAGAAGCATGGACTAAATGAAGTTTTCATGAATTTTACATCATTTTATATCATAAAATTAAGAACTTATTAGATTTGAAAGGAGTATAGACATAAAGGGTTACTTTAAAAATAATGACAAAAATGTTACTTGAATAAGTTATTTTATACATCTTTGAAATAATTAGTAATAACTCTTATTTAAGGAGCATATGTAATTGTTTTGGGTTACACATTATAAATAACTTTAAGTCTTAATTAATTCACAAGTTTCTATCTATTTATATATGTCTACCTTCAAGATTTTCAAGGAAAATGATATTTTGATAGTCCATAGAGACCAATCTTTGACCCAGAAGCGTCGATATGAAAGATAAGTGCGTCAGAAAGGCAATTAAATTTTCAGAAGGATTAGATTTTATATTTCATGGGAAAAATAACCAGATGACTGTAAAAATTTGTTAAAACTAGTGAAATCTGTATAATAGGACACATATAAAAATAATATTTAGAAAAGTTACTTATATAAGTAATTTTAAAAGTTACTTGTTTAAGTAATGCCCCTGACTGCTAATAGGGGAAAATTAATGGTGGTATTACACCTCTTCTATGTTGGAGAGTTTCCTATGTTGAATATGCAAATAGACCAAGATGAGCGACACAGGCTCTTTCTTTAGAGCCTCTAATTTTGGCATGCAAAAATAACTGGAAGCAGTTGATAACGAAAGTCATATCACACGGCTAAGACAAATCTTCAGATTTAATGAATAAATATAATTTTTAAGCCCCACCTAGGGACATTATGTTTTTCGGTATGTGCGTCCGTTCGTTCGTCCGTCTGTCCCGCTTTATGTTACAATTTTTGGTCAAGGTAGTTTTTGATGAAGTTGAAGTCCAATCAACTTGAAACTTTGTACACATGTTCCCTATGATATGATCTTTCCAATTTTGATGCCAAACTAGAGTTTTGACTCCAATTTCATAGTCCATTGAACATAGAAAATGATAGTGTACTATGGACACATTCTCGTTTTATGTACAAATTAGTTTTATCAAGGGGTACAATAATACCATTGTTTTCAATAAGTATATGATAAATAGTTTTTTGTCTGTGGTGTTTTAGAACATGTGATATATAGTTTTCGATATTTTGTGTGTTAGAACATGGGATGTGTGATATTTGTACATAATTGATATTTTATTTGTTTTACAGATCTGGAATGTCCTTATTATTACCTTATTTATTGTCTCACAATCTTCCTCGAGGATTTCTACCAGAACTTGTACAGACAATCTGTCCTGATAGAGATACATTCTGTAAGGTAAGTCACAAAGTTCCTCCAGGATGTTTACCAGAACTTATACAGACAATCTGTCCTGATAGAGATACATTCTGTAAGGTAAGTTACACAAGTCCTCCAGGATATTCACCAGAACTTGTACACACAATCTGTTCTGATAGAGATACATTCTGTAAGGTAAGTTACAAAAGTCCTCCAGGATGTTCACCAGAACTTGTACACACAATCTGTCCTGATAGAGATACATTCTGTAAGGTTAGTTACACAAGTCCTCCAGGATATTCACCAGAACTTGTACATACAATCTGTTCTGATAGAGATACATTCTGTAAGGTAAGTTACAAAAGTCCTCCAGGATGTTCACCAGAACTTGTACAATCTGTCCTGATAACAATACATTCTGTAAGGTAAGTTACAAAAGTCCTCCAGGATGTTCACCAGAACTTGTACACACAATCTGTTCTGATAAAGATACATTCTGTAATGTAAGTTACAAAGGTCCTCCAGGATGTTTACCAGAAATTGTACAGAAAATCTGTCCTGATAAAGATACATTCTGTAAGGTAAGTAACAAAAAGTCCTCCAGGATGTTTACCAAAACTTGTACATGATTTGTTATTTTGAAAAAGAAACATTCGCTCAGGTATGATACAAATAGTACAGAAAAAAAGAATAAACAAAATATGTTGCACAGTAATTGTAACACACCAATTACCATCACCCATCTTCTCTGGTGAAAAATGAGACGAACAAGAAAGTACAAACAACAACCAACAAATACATAGTTCAGATACCCCGACTTGGTACGGGGAACAATGTTGGGTAAACCAATTTTACATATGAATGTATGATAAATTAACAGCTCTTTTTACAAATAATCATCTTTTCTGTGGTTTTTAATAGAATTCAAATAACTTGTGAAAAGATTTCTTTAAGTTACATTGTATTTCCTGCAGTGGTAAAAGTCTGGTTCCCTCATTGGTTTACACAATATGATTATAATGACCCTCTATGTTTTCATTGTAGATATTTGAACCAGTTCTCCACAGTTTAACACGGATGATTCATCCTCTGTCTCTAGACAGTGATGAGTATAAGGACCCTCTTTGTGTGTTGACAGAGTTGTGTGAAATAAAAAGTGGCAATACAAGGCCAGTCTGCTCACTGGTATGTACAAATCATTGTTGTCACTTTAATACACAAGGATTAGTTTTGGTAAGGCCCCAGTACATCCCAGCACAATATGTTCTTGGTAAAAATTTTCTTATCTTAACTTGAATATTTCGTTCCTTGAGTCATGCGCTCTTCGTTTCTTCATGGTAAATCATTCATGTCATGCATTTCAAGATGAGAACTTATTCACGTTATATCAATATGAAGCTTGCTTTGTTCTCGACTGATTCTCTGAGCTGAACTTTAAACATGCTAGTTCACTGAGCCAATCAGTCTTTATGTGGGAAAGCAGCAAATACAGAATTTATATCTTTTTGTTTTGTTCGATCAGGTCAGTGATCAAGCCCACCCTCTGCAGTCAAAATGAGTATGCTACATAAACGGGATTAATATTATTGTATTAACTGATTGCATAAAATTTTGAATGGAAATTGCTTTAAAAGTGCATTTAATACCAAAAGCCTTTATCTGTATCTTTGTTATAACAGGACACATTATAATAATTCATACATATATTATTTTTTAAAACTTCTTCAATACATGTTTCGTATGCCCCCACCCCAGCGGAGGGGGCATTAGTTTTCCCCCTGTACGTCTGTATGCCTGTCAGTACGTCTCAAAATTAGTTTTACTCTAATCTTAGTTTGCCTCAACCAAATGTAATGAAACTTATATATACATAATATAAAAATAAGGAGATGTGGTTCAACAATGAGAAAAAACCCATACGGTATAGTCGGCTATAAAAGGCCCCATCATGAAAAATATGAAAGAATTCAATTGAGAAAACTAACTGCCTAATTTATAACAAAACAAATATGACAGACATGAACCAACGACAACCACTGAACTACAGGTTCCTGACTTTGGACAGGCACATAAAGAATGTGGCGAGGTTAAACATGTTTGTGAGCACTCAACCCTCCCCTAACCTGGGACAGTGGTGTAACAGCACAACATAAGAACAAACTATAAAAATCAGTTGATAAATGCTTATTATCACCAAACTCAGATCAAATTTATTTTAACTGATTGCATCACATTTTGAAATTTTGAATGGAAATTGCTTTAAAAGTACAATTAACTAGAATAAAATTGAGAATGGAAATGGGGAATGTGTCAAAGAGACAACAACCCGACCACAGAACAGACAACAGCAGAAGGCCACCAACAGGTCTTCAATGCAGCGAGAAATTCCCGCACCCGGAGGCGTCCTTCAGCTGGCCCCTAAACAAATATATATACTAGTTCAGTGATAATGAACGCCATACTAAACTCCAAATTGTACACAAGAAACTAAAATTAAAAATAATACAAGACTAACAAAGGCTAGAGGCTCCTGACTTAGAAGCCTTTGTCTATATTATGTTATAACAGGAGACATTTTCATAAATCATACGTATATTAAAAAAAATCCTTCAATACACAATTATGTGTCGTGTCATATCAATGTTCTGTCTTTTGTATAGATCCTGAGTGTGGCATAGCTGAGTTTTATTCCTTTAAATGATTCTTTCTTATTGTTTTTATAGATAGTAAAACAGAGTAACTGGTTACCAGATTCTTTAACACAAGCTGCAGGGATAGAGTTAGAGAAGTTGTCTGTGTTAGGACCATTTCTTGGTTTATCATTGTTTGCTGAAGATAATGTGAGTTGGTTTTCAATAAGAAGTGACAAAGTAAAATGTTACAGAAAAATTGAATTGATCCATTGAAATACAAGAAAATCATTCAATGAATTGTAATAAAAGCTGTAGTCTTTAATCAGGTCTGAGTTACAAGAAGATATCTTAAAGATGACAAAATACTTACTTTACTGTATTTTCATATAAAAGACATGGACAATTCTATATATGCTTAATCTATTTTAGAAAACCTACACAAAGTCATAGTAAATTTCACAGTAGATGGTTTTTATCTGCATTTTATCATATCAAATATAATACAATAGTTGTCTGATAATATTAAATTCAATCTACAAGAAATGGAAAAATATTCAAAGTACAACATGCAGTAAGCATTAATTTTGATCTTATGTTAAGGTTACACTTCAGAGTGGCTAATGTGATGACCTTATACAGCCATTTATTTGCTTTTGGAGGTTAATTTAGCAATCATTGTAGTTTTATGTCTTACGGTGTAACCAATGTTTTTCAATCTGATAGATATGAATTAAAAGAGATCTTGGGTATACTTCAAAAAGACAGTAGCTGAAACTACATAAAAATCAAAGGAGAAAGTATTAGTTCAACAATCAACCATATTCCTAGATGTATCATATCACAGAGTCAGACAATGAAGATCAGTAGTCATACAATATATCAATGAACACTCATTACACATGTATCATATCACAGAGTGTGACAGTGAAGATCAGTAGTCATACAATACATCAATGAAAACTCATGACACATGTATCATATCACAGAGTGTGACAGTGAAGATCAGAAGTATTACAATACATCAATGAAAACTCATGACACATGTATCATATCACAGAGTGTGACAGTGAAGATCAGTAGTCATACAGTACATCAATGAAAACTCATGACACATGTATCATATCACAGAGTCAGACAATGAAGATCAGAAGTATTACAATACATCAATGAAAACTCATGACACATGTATCATATCACAGAGTCAGACAATGAAGATCAGTAGTCATACAATACATCAATGAAAACTCATGACACATGTATCATATCACAGAGTCAGACAATGAAGATCAGAAGTATTACAATACATCAATGAAAACTCATGACACATGTATCATATCACAGAGTCAGACAATGAAGATCAGAAGGCATACAATGCATCAATGAAAACTCATGACACATGTATCATATCACAAAGTCAGACAATGAAGATCAGTAGTCATACAATACATCAATGAAAACTCATGATACATGTATCATATCACAGAGTCAAACAATGAAGATCAGAAGTATTACAATACATCAATGAAAACTCATGACACATGCATCATATCACAGAGTCAAACAATGAAGATCAGAAGTATTACAATACATCAATGAAAACTCATGACACATGTATCATATCACAGAGTCAAACAATGAAGATCAGTAGTCATACAATACATCAGTAAAACTAATGACACAAAAATCTGTATACTGTCAAATATATGTTAATTAATATAATTTGTTTTTCATTTGTATTTGATGTATGTGATATGGTATTAAACAATTTATTTTTCAGACTAGAGTGGTAGAGAAATATTTTTCTGGCCACCAGTTAACACCGGACAATATCAGGATTACTCAACAGTCATTACAACATGGCTTAGAATTTGTACGAGTAAGTACACACACACTTTTACACATGTGATGCAGATTGAAGTTATGACTTACATCTGTAGAATGTACTTTTAACATGCCTTTAGTTCAATAACATATTAATATATATTTCAATAGACAAACTAGCTTCATTCTGTGTGTGCTACCATCCAGGTGAAATCAGATTCTGATAAGAAATTTTTGCTGCTTGTACATTTCGTATAACAGATCTAATTGTATTATTTAATATGTATGAAGTTAAAGATTTATTCCTTTGGTTTATGTATGATAAAACAGTTTTTCATCTGTATCATTCAGTCCATCGGGTTCAAGAGTATGTAGCTAATGCATCCAAAATCTCTCTCTGTTTCCTGCCTTGTGTGTCCCAATTTTGGTTAGCCTCCATTATTTGAAAATGATATTTTCAAAAGAATGTCCTGTTTTCAAAAGGTGTGTTGATTGAGCAGTTTTTTCCTTTGGTATAAAATGACCAGTGATTATTTAGCCTGATGTTAAATTTGGTTTCTGTTTCACCAACTTATTCCAGTTTGCAGGTTTCACAAGTAAAAATTTTTTTATGTAAATTTAGTTGGATGTACTTTTTATTTATATTAATGCAAGGTTTGTATGTTGTTTGTTTACCAATATATTGTCATACATTTAATTTTCATGCCAGCATGTTATAAAATGTTATAAAAATCTGGTTTTTATCTGTTTCAGAATGAATTATATAAGATAACACATAATATTCTAGTCAACTCTGATAGCAGAGATGCAGCCTTGTCTTTCATAGCCACATCTTTGGAGAGAAACTCTAAAAAGTCTCAAATACAGGTAAGTTTTATCTTAAACAACTATTTCCAGCAATGTTTGTATTATGTCCAAACAGATTTCCAAGATAGTTGCCCATGTTTCTTATGGACAGTGCACAAAAACCTTTTAGGTGACTTGTCCTTTATGATTAGTGAGATGTATATTTTATTTGTTTGTACCTTATTTACGGTATGTTACGATGTATATTTCCATGGTATTATTTATTTTTACGGTATGTTACAATGTATATTTCCATGGTATAATTTATTTTACAGGTAGATGAGCGATATGTTGCAGGAGACGGCTTTATGTTAAATTTGTTATCAGTTTTACAGATGTTAACTGTTAATAAAATAAGTTTAGAAAAGGTCAGTAGCATACTCAAATTAAGTATAAAGTAGTACAAGTTATTCTTTTAATAAAGGAGATAGTCCATCTGGTTTAACATCAATTTAATAAATTTATTTTAAAAAGACATTTTTTGAAATTCATTTAAATTTAAATGTTCATTTTGATGAAAATAAGCCTTTGATTTTAAAAAGTTTGGATTTACTTGTTAATATGCTTGTTACTATAGCTAGAAAGGCTTTTCAGTTTTAGGGAATTGTCATAATTGGTATGTGCATCTAAGAATCAGTTCCTAGCCAGGAACAGGGGAATCCATGCCTAAATATTTTTCAAGGGTTTGGCCAAATAGGGGTTTATATCAACCAAGCAAGCATTTTTATACCGACTACTCCAGAGGAGTGGGAAATGTAGTGCTGCACATGTTTTTTCCTGTTGCCTGTCATTCACAAGTATTGTATCCAGATAAAATTAAGTACCACTTGACAAAATCTTGTGGAGTATTGAAACAATGTAATGAACCATAAATTACAGATCATAATCTATTTTGATAGTTTCATTCAATATTTATTTCCCTTTGTTACTTAAAAAGTTGGGTTTCTTTGGTTTCCAGGTGATAATACCACTGAACAAGATCTTTTGAAATTAGAGATTTGAACACAATGTCATGGATTATAAAATACAGGTCAAGGTTGGATTAGATAATTTTGACATTAACAGAGAGTTATTCACCTTAGTAACTATAAAATTTAGATTTTTTCTGCGGTTCCCCCAGTGATAATGAAAGTACTGTTTGACAAAACCTTTTTAGCTCACCTGGCCCGAAGGGCCAAGTGAGCTTTTCTCATCACTTTGCGTCCGTCGTCGTCGTCGTCCGGCGGCGTCTGTTAACTTTTACAAAAATCTTCTCCTCTGAAACTACTGGGTCAAATTTAAACAAACTTGGTCACAATCATCATTGGGGTATCTAGTTTTAAAAAATGTGTCGGGTGATCCGGTCAACCAACCAAGATGGCCGCCATGGCTAAAAATAGAACATAGGGGTAAAATGTAGATTTTGGCTTATATCTCTGAAACCAAAGCATTTAGAGCAAATCTGACATGGGGGTAAAATTGTTTATCAGGTCAAGATCTATCTGCCCTGAAATTTTCAGATGAATCGGAGAACCTGTTGTTGGGTTGCTGTCACTAAATTGGTAATTTTAAGAAAATTTTGCAGTTTTTGGTTATTATTTTGAATATTATTATAGATAGAGATAAACTGTAAACATCATAATGTTCAGCAAAGTAAGATCTACAAATAAGTTGTCATGACCAAAATTGTCAGTCGACCCCTTTAGGAGTTATTGCCCTTAATAGTCAATTTTTAACAATTTTTTGTAAATTTTTGTAATCTTTTACAAAAATCTTCTTCTCTGAAACTACAGAGACAAATTTAACCATACTTGGCCATAATCATTATTAGGGTATCTAGTTTAAAAAATTTGTCCGATGACCCCACCATCCAACCTTCATGGCCGACTTGGTTAAAAATAGAACATAGGGGTAAAATGCAGTTTTTGGTTTATATCTCTGAAACTAAAGCATTTAGAGCAAATCTGACAGGTAGCAAAAATGTTCATCAGATTTAGATTTATCTGCCCTGAAATTTTCAGACGAATCCGACAACCCGTTGTTGGGTTGCTGCCCCTGAGTTAGTAATTTTACAAAAAATTTGCAGTTTTTTGTTATTATCTTAGATATCATTATAATATCTAATATCTAATACTATTAATTATGATTTTAACCTTATTTTACATGATTTCCAAAGCATCAGTAAATACAGGTGAGCGAAACAGGCTCTTGAGAGCCTCTAGTTTAGATTTTAACACCATATTATGCAAAATAATAAATTTTGTTTTTGGTATTTCCCAATAAAGTGTTTGAAGGGGCTGCTCCTTAGAGTTTTCTGTATATTTGAGTTCTGAAGAAAGTATTTTTAACATTTTTGTTTCTTGATTATTGACTGATCTAAACCAGTATGTTTTGGGTAGTTTTTATTCTAATGACCCAGAGATAAAGGAATAACATATGGAAAAAGTGTCTTTTAACATTATTTTGATTTGCTTTATTTGCCTAAAATAATTTTTCTTATTTTGGCTGCTTAGTTTCAACTTTTTAAGTTTTTATAAAATTGAGAATGGAAACAGGGAATGTGTCAAAGAGACAACAACCAGACCAAAGTGCAGAAAACAGCCCAAGGCCACCAATGGGTCTTCAACACACAGAAAATTCGCACCCGATCGGGCTTCAGCTGGCCCCTAAACAAGAATGGGTACTAGTTCAGAGAAAATAGACGTCACACTAAACTCCGAAACATAAAGATGAACCAAAATTAAAAAAACATACAAAACTAAGAAAGGCCAGAGGTTCCTGACTTGGGACAGGCCCAAAAATGCGGCAGGATTAAACATGTTTTGTGAGATCTCTACCCTCCCCCTATAGTATTTATAAAGTGAAGGCAAAGTTTACTGTTCTCAATTTAAATTTGTAAATTAATAAACATGGTTTGAATGTGACATATTCATTATATTGATGTAATCTATTTATAGGTAGATCCTTATTATCCATTTCATCCTAATTCCCGTGTCAGCATTAAGTCAGAAACACGACTCCGAGCTCTGCCTAATGATTGTGACAAGTGGACAGAAAAACTCAGTAAGTGTAATCCATTTATTCCTATCCTATTAAGGAGTCATTAATTGGCAAATTTCAGTAGTTGAAATAAATCAATTTTTCTGAAAAATCTGTTATTAAAGAAGTTAAATAATGCAGTTTATATTGAGGATTATTTTATGCTAAAGATTGAACAACACAAACCCAAACAATAACAAGCTGTCTAATTCATATTTGGGTTTCTCCAATTGAAACTTCATTTTTCATGTATAGACTTGTTTGAAACATTGAATCAAATTTAGGTCATCCATGCTTTCTAATTGCTTCTAGATGTTAAACAAGCAACAATCAATCAATCAATCAAAGTTTTCAAGTTTTAATCAGCAGTGTGTATGTAGTCACTATTTACAAAGCATATATATAGATTCTTACATTGGTACCAGTGGATTATCAAATGTATCAAATCCAGATAGTTAAATTATCAAATTTAAAATCAGAGCCTTAATGGGGACTTTAAATTCGATAATTTAGCTCTTGAGATTGGATAAATATGATTATCCACGAGTAACTATGTAAGAATCTGTTTTTCCTTTATGATTATCAAATAAATTTTAATTTTTGATAAATGGAAATCCCCTACGAGTTCCTTCCACATTCCTAATTTCTACGTCATACAAATATAAAGTTGTCAATTTCTCTAACACCTGTTAGCAGATGTTGATTCATCCAGAGAGCTGATAAAGGTTCTGACCTTTTAACTGAGATCATTGGCAACCACATGTTGATTAGATCTTTTTAAACAATGGGTCCAGAAAGGATTAAATTGTCAAAGAATTAGAGAAATGTTATTATAAAACTAGTTCAACTTCTCAGCACTGAGAATGACAAAGATTTGCATGATTTGTGCAAATTCTTATTTAATGCACTTAATCATAGGACTGAACTGTTAGTGGACAATAATTGATGTTTATATGCTTCTCATGTATTATGCCATTTTATGTTATAAATATGTTTTGTATTTATTCTTGTACTGATAAGCATAATGTGCTTATAATAATGAAGAATTAAATATTGGTTGTTCTTGATTGAAAGCAATCTTAAGGTGTAATACCACCATTGATTTTCCCCTATTAGTCTTTGTTAAATTTGCACTTTTCAAAAAATTATACAGAAATTATCTTTGTTTCAAATAAAGAAATACTTGGCATGAGTAAAGATTTATCCTGTCCAGTACTAGAGAAAAAATTTCACATAACATTTCATTGCATATAAGAAAATAGCCATCACTGAAAGTTAACCAATCAAATTTTCCCCCTTTTTTAACCTGTGTACAAGCTTTAGTAACCATGTAACCTCAAGTTTCCAAAATATTCTATAGAAACCCCAAATAAAGAAATAATGGTGCTTTGAAATACCCAAGATATATGTTTATGACTCAGAAATGTTTTACTGCAATGAAATGTAGGATCAATTACCTACAACAGGCAAATTCAAGGGAATATTTTTTTTCGACCTATTTTCGTATGCAACCGGATGTGATGTACTATGATTTGGTGGTATTACACCTAAAGAAGACTTTTTTGTTAAATAAACTGAATGTGACTATTTTCCTTTGTAATACTGGTTATTTCAAGCATTCCTGTCAAGTTTTGTCATAATAAGTTCAATAGTTTGAGAAAAATCTATTATAATGTAAGACGACATCTACAGCGATTCGAGCAAAATTTCTTCGAAAAATCCAAAACCAAGCCGCATCATGATAGAATATAGTGCGGACCAATAAATGATCAAATATTTATCTCATCTGCCTACAAACAGTTGAATATGATACAAAAGATGACTTTAGGGTGATAAATACTACTAATGGATCTCTTTGTCTTCCTTATAAGGTCTCTTTTGGTCCATTTATACCTCTCATTTCCTCAAAATTTCTACTTTTTAGGCCAATAAATAAAAATTTTGGGGTAACTTTCACTCATTTATGATAGAAATGTTATTATAAATGATTAATTGAAGTATTCAAGCTGAATGAACTATCCGTATAAAAGTTTACTGTCTCCAAGGAGGTTTCAATAAGTCCTTACGTAAAACTTAAATTTACGCCGCGTTCCAGAGAGGGACATAAAAAACTTCTTTTTTTGGTGAATAATTTGTTGTTACTGCTTTAAAAATAATTTCATTTACTTAAAACTATATATTTATTAAAGTATTTCTTAGGAAAAATTTTCTAGTATAGCAGAATATAAGAAATAAGGAGAAAAAGCTCCCCAAAACTCTAAGTATGGCTTGTTCTGTCAACTAATATTCATGGTAAAGTCCTATTTCAAGGAAATTTTCTCATAAAATGTATTTTGGAGACTCAATCCACTCAGAATATTTCATTATTTGTAATATTTCACTTAAATAGCAAAAAAATTTAACACATGAGAGTACTCACAAGGTCAAAGGTGCATGTACAGCTTCCCATATTAGGTGTAATACCACCATTGATTTTCCCCAATTAGTCTTTGTTAAATTTGCACTTTTCAAAAAATTGTACAGAAATTATCTTTGTTTCAAATAAAGAAATACTTGGCATGAGTAAAGATTTATCCTGTCCAGTACTATAGAAAAAATTTCACATAACATTTCATTGCATATAAGAAAATAACCATCACTGGAAGTTAACCAATCAAATTTTCCCCCTTTTTTAACCTGTGTACAAGCTTTAGTAACCATGTAACCTCAAGTTTCCAAAATATTCTATAGAAACCCCAAATAAAGAAATAATGGTGCTTTGAAATACCCAAGATATATGTTTATGACTCAGAAATGTTTTACTGCAATGAAATGTAGGATCAATTACCTACAACAGACAAATTCAAGGGAATATTTTTTTTTGACCTATTTTCGTATGCAACCGGATGTGACGTACTATGATTTGGTGGTATTACACCTAAACACCAGAAGAATTTTTCTCTCAATATATAAAATAAGTTTAATGACCTACAACCTTCTCTGAATCAACATGGTGACCATAAGAGAAGTCAATAGGGAATCTATTCCACAAAAACATTTGGAGCATTCAATCTAAAGAACAACCAATAAAGTTCATTTTAGAATAAAGACTAACCTTTTCAGCAATAATTTTTTTTCAAAATTTTGTTTTATTTCATTTAAAAATATATAAACATGTTGGGTTGTTTTTTTCAGAATCTGAGAAGAAGCCCCCATGGCAGGATCCTAAATTTCCTACGGAGTGCTTCTTTGTGACGTTACACTGCCATCATCTGTCTATTGTGCCTGCCACACGACGTTACCAACAAAGGTTGAAGGCCATCAGGGATGTCAGTCGTATGGTCGATGAACTGGAGAATACAGAACCAATATGGAGTAAACTTCCTAATGCTGCTAGAAATAAAGAACTTCTAAAGAAATGGAAATCTCAGGTCCAGGTATGGGGTCTTTTTAACTCTGATAGAAATAAAGAACTTCTTAAAAAAATGGAAATCTCAGGTCCAGGTATGGGGGTCTTTTTACCTTGATAGAAATAAAGAATTTCTAAAGAAATGGAAATCTCAGGTTCAGGTATGGGGTCTTTTTATCTCGATAAAAATAAAGAACTTCTAAAGAAATGAAAATCTCAGGTCCAGGTATGGGGTCTTTTTATCTTGATACAAATTGTATAAAGAACTTCTAAAGAAATGGAAATCTCAGGTCCAGGTATAGGGTGCTTAAATGTTCATGTTACCCTCATTGTCATTGGATGTAGACCCCATAGTTGGTTGTTTGTGTTAACTTTTATCCCAGTAGACCTTTTATCCTGAAATTTTTACTTGACGTGAACATTTGACAAGGTTATAATGATTTCAGATGGTTATGTTTATTTTCATTTTATTTATTTCCAGAGACTAAATAAAAGTAAACTTTGTGCTGATGCTGCTGTGTTAGATGAATCTCTGTTACGAAGATGCTTACAATTCTATGAAGTCCATTCTGATTACATGTTAAAAGTAGCTGATCCTAAAAGTTCAGGGTAAATAAAAGTTTTATGTAGACTAAATATTTGTTATAAACAAAGAATCCTTTATGATGAAGTATGTTATTAATAAATGCATACTCCATGTAGTCATCAAGTTAATTACAAATCTAACATTTATCTATTATTTCTGTTGTTGCTGTATTAGCCCCAATATTATCAGTCAATGTGAATTATTACTTTCGGTTGATCTGTCTTGTACTAATCCCCCTATTTTAGAGTAACTCTGCCATTACCCTCTGACTTACACATGCAGTTTATATTTAAGCTTTATTTATCTATTTTAGAGTAACTCTGCCATTACCCTCTGACTTACACATGCAGTTTATATTTAAGCTTTATTTATCTATTTTAGAGTAACTCTGCCATTACCCTCTGACTTACACATGCAGTTTATATTTAAGCTTTATTTATCTATTTTAGAGTAACTCTGCCATTTCTCTCTGACGTACACATGCAGTTTATATTTAAGCTTTATCTATTTTAGAGTAACTCTGCAATTACCCTCTGACGTACACATGCAGTTTATATTTAAGCTTTATTTATCTATTTTAGAGTAACTCTGCCATTTCTCTCTGACGTACACATGCAGTTTATATTTAAGCTTTATCTATTTTAGAGTAACTCTGCAATTACCCTCTGACGTACACATGCAGTTTATATTTAAGCTTTATCTATTTTAGAGTAACTCTGCCACTCCCAACTGACGTACACATGCAGTTTATATTTAAGCTTTATTTATCTATTTTAGAGTAACTCTGCCACTCCCAACTGACGTACACATGCAGTTTACATTTAAGCTTTATCTATTTTAGAGTAACTCTGCCACTTCCAACTGACGTCCCCATGCAGTTTGCTGCTTTACCAGATTTCTACATAGAAGATTTAGCAGAATTCTTACAGTTTATATTTAAGCTTTATCTATTTTAGAGTAACTCTGCCACTTCCAACTGACGTCCCCATGCAGTTTGCTGCTTTACCAGATTTCTACATAGAAGATTTAGCAGAATTCTTACAGTATATATTTAAGCTTTATCTATTTTAGAGTAACTCTGCCACTTCCAACTGATGTCCCCATGCAGTATATATTTAAGCTTTATCTATTTTAGAGTAACTCTGCCACTTCCAACTGACGTCCCCATGCAGTATATATTTAAGCTTTATCTATTTTAGAGTAACTCTACCACTTCCAACTGACGTCCCCATGCAGTTTGCTGCTTTACCAGATTTCTACATAGAAGATTTAGCAGAATTCTTACAGTTTATATTTAAGCTTTATCTATTTTAGAGTAACTCTGCCACTTCCAACTGACGTCCCCATGCAGTTTGCTGCTTTACCAGATTTCTACATAGAAGATTTAGCAGAATTCTTACAGTATATATTTAAGCTTTATCTATTTTAGAGTAACTCTGCCACTTCCAACTGATGTCCCCATGCAGTATATATTTAAGCTTTATCTATTTTAGAGTAACTCTGCCACTTCCAACTGACATCCCCATGCAGTATATATTTAAGCTTTATCTATTTTAGAGTAACTCTGCCACTTCCAACTGATGTCCCCATGCAGTTTATATTTAAGCTTTATCTATTTTAGAGTAACTCTGCCACTTCCAACTGACATCCCCATGCAGTATATATTTAAGCTTTATCTATTTTAGAGTAACTCTACCACTTCCAACTGACGTCCCCATGCAGTTTGCTGCTTTACCAGATTTCTGCATAGAAGATTTAGCAGAATTCTTACAGTTTATATTTAAGCTTTATCTATTTTAGAGTAACTCTGCCACTTCCAACTGACGTCCCCATGCAGTTTGCTGCTTTACCAGATTTCTACATAGAAGATTTAGCAGAATTCTTACAGTTTATATTTAAGCTTTATTTATCTATTTTAGAGTAACTCTGCCACTTCCAACTGACGTCCCCATGCAGTTTGCTGCTTTACCAGATTTCTACATAGAAGATTTAGCAGAATTCTTACAGTTTATATTTAAGCTTTATTTATTTATTTTAGAGTAACTCTGCCACTTCCTACTGATGTCCCCATGCAGTTTATATTTAAGCTTTATCTATTTTAGAGTAACTCTGCCACTTCCTACTGATGTCCCCATGCAGTTTATATTTAAGCTTTATTTATCTATTTAAGAGTAACTCTGCCACTTCCTACTGATGTCCCCATGCAGTTTGCTGCTTTACCAGATTTCTACATAGAAGATTTAGCAGAATTCTTACAGTTTATATTTAAGCTTTATCTTTTTTAGAGTAACTCTGCCACTTCCTACTGATGTCCCCATGCAGTTTGCTGCTTTACCAGATTTCTACATAGAAGATTTAGCAGAATTCTTACAGTTTATATTTAAGCTTTATTTATCTATTTTAGAGTAACTCTGCCACTTCCAACTGACATCCCCATGCAGTTTGCTGCTTTACCAGATTTCTACATAGAAGATTTAGCAGAATTCTTACAGTTTATTTTTAAGCTTTATCTATTTTAGAGTAACTCTGCCACTTCCAACTGACGTACCCATGCAGTTTGCTGCTTTACCAGATTTCTACATAGAAGATTTAGCAGAATTCTTACAGTTTATATTTAAGCTTTATCTATTTTAGAGTAACTCTGCCACTTCCAACTGACGTACCCATGCAGTTTGCTGCTTTACCAGATTTCTACATAGAAGATTTAGCAGAATTCTTACAGTTCATTCTTCAGTAAGTGGTAAAGATCAACCTTTACAAATGTATCAATATCTAAACAGTTTAGTAAAGATCAACCTTTACAAATGTATCAATATCTAAACAGTTTAAGGTACATGTAGATCAGGTGTCTTTTTCTGAGCATCCCTTCGGGGCATGTTGCAAAAATACTTTTTTGTTTAAAAATATTTTACTAAGTATCATTCAATACACAACAGAAACTTCAAAAACTTGAAATTAAAAGATTAAAGTCCCAAAAAATTAAGTGTCTTAAAATTTTCAGTAAAAATACTTTTATAATCAAGGACAGATAATTATATTAAATTTGATAGGACAATTTGTTTTTTTTTTTATTTTTCAAGAAAATAAGGTGACCCCTTATTTTAATTTGATATTTTGAAAGTATTTATGAATAGCAATTCTCTCATTGAATGTAAACCAATTCTATCATTTTATGTTTCCTCTATATAACCCATATAAAATAACTAACTTCTTTAATTTCAATGTATTTTAACAAAAAAACAAGGTCTGTGACCCCCATTTCTTATATTGAAAGTGAAAGTACATTTACCAAGAAGTCTTGTACAGAACTTTAAGAAAAATCTATCTTTAAACATTTAGACACCCCAGCTACCTTAAACATGTTAAAATCAAATTAACAGTTTCCGTTGAGACAGCAGTGGTTATAGTAGTAACTGTGACAACAGAGACAGCAGTAAATACACCAGTTACTATGACAACAGAAACAGCAGTAATTACATCAGTAGCTATGACAACAGAAACAGCAGAAAATATATTAGTTGCTATGACAATTTATAGTGTAAGGAGACAGCATTTATGTATATCATTAATTATTATAGGATCCTATACATTATAACTAATCTATTAGATGTTAGTAATTGTATTCTGTTATAGATATGTGCCCCATGTGGCAGACGATCCCTCCATGGACAGAATACTACACTTGTTGGTAGTATTAGTGTGTAGCAGTAATTATATTGGAAACCCTTACCTGATAGCCAAACTGGTAGAAGTTATCTTTGTGATGAACCCTGCCGTACAACCCAGGAGTCAGAGTCTCAACGAGAAATTTTTAATGCATCCATTAGCTTTACAACACTTAGTTCCAGCTCTCATGAACTTTTATACAGGTATGTAGTTTATACTCTCACTTGCAACAAAACAATATTGTGACATGTTTGTCCATTCTGCCTCCTGTTGGTCTAACATCTTTTATATAGACACTGTAGACCTCCAGTCTCCTATCTGATTTTATCAAACTTTGTCTACTACATGGTAACAGATGCTTAAACCTTAGATAAATTCAAGTTCTACAGTCAATTTTAAAGCATGACACTAGAGGTAAATCTGTAGGCTAAAGCTCTTTCATTTTAGTTCAATTCAAGGTAAAAGTCTAGGTTATAGCATGACTTGAGAGGTAAAGCTTGTAGCCTTCTAAAGCTCTTTAATCTTTAGTTTAATTCAATGTTAGAGTCGAGGGTACGGTACAGCATGTCTTGAGATTGTAGACTTCTAAAGCTTCTGTCTTTCATTTTTGGTTAAAATCAAGGTCAAAGTCAATGTTATAGCATGACTTTAGAGGTAAATCTGTAGACTTTTATTTCAGTAATTTTTTTTATGCCCCACCTAGGGGCATTATGTTTTTCGGTCTGTGCGTCCGTTCGTTCGTTCGTCCGTCTGTCTGTCCTGCTTCAGGTTAAAGTTTTTGGCCAAGGTAGTTTTTGATGAAGTTGAAGTCCAATCAACTTCAAACTTAGTACACATGTTCCCTATGATATGATCTTTCTAATTTTAATGCCAAATTAAGAGTTTTGACCCCAATTTCATGGTCCACTGAACATAGAAAATGATAGTGCGAGTGGGGCATCCGTGTACTATGGACACATTCTTGTTTTTATACGACCGCAAAAAAATTGCAGTCATATATTGGTATCATGTCGTCGGCATCAGCGTCGTCTGAAGACATTTGATTTCCGGACAATAACTTTAGTATAAGTAAATAGAAATCTATGAAATTTAAACACAAGGTTTAAAACCACAAAAGGAAGGTTGGGATTGATTTTGGGGGTATATGGTCCGAACAGTTTAGGAATTAGGGGCCAAAAAGGGGCCCAAATAAGCATTTTTCTAGTTTCCAGACAATAACTTGTGGAACAGTGTATGGATCTCTCTGAAATTATACCACAAGTTTCCAAAGGGATGGTTAGGATTGGCTTTGGGGGGGTTATGGCTCAAACCGTTTAGGAATTAGGGGCAAAAAAGGGGGGAAAACAAGGGTTTCCTGGTTAATGGACAATTACAATAAGTATTGGTCTTGGATCTCTATGAAATAGATATTGGACCATTAAGCATTATATAAGAGGAAGCATTCGATTGATTCATGATATTTTATAGTATATAGAAGAGAACAATATTTGGGGATTTTGATTTTGAGAAAGCTTTGATTCTTTATGTTGGGACTTTTTGCTATAAGTATTACAATTTTTAACGCTATTAGTATTACAATTTTTATGCCCCCACCGTAGCGGTTTGGGCATTAAGTTTTATCCTTGTCCGTCTGTACATAGGTACGTACGTACGTACTTACGTATGTCCCATAATTGGTTTCCTTTCTTTGCCTAAACCAAATGTTATGAAACTTATACACAATGCTTATTACCACAAAACACAGATCAAGTTTGAATTTTGGTGGCGTCACTTTAATCGTTCTAGAGTTATGCCCCTTTATAAATGGAAAAATTGCAAAATGTTTAGTTTCCGTTCTCTAATTTAAGTTTGCCTCAACAAAATGTTATGAAACTTATACACAATGCTTATTACCACAAAACACAGATCAAGTTTGAATTTTGGTGGCTTCACTTTAACCGTTCTAGAGTTATGCCCCTTTATAAATGGAAAAATTGCAAAATTTTTATTTTCTTCTAAATATCAAGTTATTTTTAAAATTGGAGTTATCTTCCTTTGTCCATGATTATAGTTGAATCAACTACAATCAATGCTTTTAACAATGCAATGTTTAATTTTGACTTCCACAGATCAAGTTGAATTTGGGTAGTGTCACTTTAACCATTATTGAGTTATGTTCCTTTATAAATCGAAAGATTGCAAAATTTTTAGTTTCCATTCTGTAACTTAAGTTTGCCTCAACCAAACATTATGAAACCTATACACAATATTCATTACCACAAAACTAAGATCAAGTACAAATTTTTTGTTTCCGTTTTCTAACTTTAGTTTGCATCAACCAAATGTTATGAAACTTATACACAATGCTTATTACTACATAATACAGATTAAGTACGAAATTTGGTGGCGACACTTTTACCATTCTTGAGTTATGTCCCTTTATAAACATAAAAATTGCTGAATTTTTCGTTTCCGTTCTCTAACTTTAGTTTGTCTCAACCAAATGTTATAAAACTTATACACAACTGTTCTAGACTTATGCGTGTTTACAAATAGAAAACTTGCTGAATTTTTAGTTTCTGTTCTCTACTTTAGTTAGCCTCAACCAAATGTTATGAGACTTACACACAATGCTTATTACCACAAAATTTTTGGGTAGCGTCACTTTTACCGTTCTTCAGTTATTTTCATATGCTGAATCTAACTGAATCTAATTGGTCCGAATTTTGGTCCTAAGGCTATAAAATTTGTTTTGTTTGATTTAATAAACATTAAATAAAATTAAAAGATAATAATTACAATGTTATATTTGAATTACCTCCCTTACATTGCTTTTAAATTATGTAAAGTTGTCAGCTAGTTCTAGTATGAATTATTTTTTAGCTGTTTCTAGAAACATCAAATACTGTGATGGAAGTATATACAGTCAGGGGACTTATTGAAATAAGTGATTTTTAAATCACTTATTTAACTAGCAAATTCGAAGTTTTGTCACAAATTGTGATTTTGTAGTTTTACCAAAATTTTAAACACATAGGTTTAGATAATATCTTTTCATTGGTAAAATTGAAAAAAAAAAAGTTCTTGTTGCTTCTTTTATGCAGCAAGGTTTATGCCTTTGATGTAATCATTTAGCTGCAAATTCTATTTTAGTTGAAAAAATGCTATAAAAAAGGCTTTACATAATGAATTGATACTTTCGTAACAGATTTTTCCCAGCAGTGGGGGTATTTTTCCTGTAAAATTCAAGGTTTCATCTTAAAGATTATGTAATAAAATTCTACTGTTCGCGATCAAAATTTCACTGTTCGGGGGTGTTGAAATTAGTGGGGGTTATTAAAATAATGATACTTAAAGAAGTGATTTTTTGGAAGGAAATTGAGGTATGATACTTAAACAAGTGATTTTTATGTCATTATCCTAGATTTAGTACTAGGTCATCACCTGACATGACCCGGTCATCCTATCAACACAGATGTTGGTTCTGATAATCTTAGCAACATAATTAGTCCCTGGATCATTAGTATTCTATATTTAAAGCTACAATAAAATTAAATCACTTAGTCTAGTGATTAATTTGTACTACTTAAATAGGTGATTATTAAAGAAAGACAACTCTTACTTCCAACCTTTATGGACATAATGTTACTTGAATCAGTGATTTAGAAAATCACTATTTAAGTAAGTCCCCTGACTGATATATAATATAATAAGTGTATATCAAAGGGTTCAGTGGTAATAAATTTTCATATTCAGAATTGTTTATTTGTGATCAATATCATTTGTTTGGGGGTTTTTTTTAGCATTAAGAGTTGCCTCCCTTACAATGGTTTTGTTATAAAGAAATGTTGTATTGTTTTGAGGTGATTAGCTGTCAATTTATTTTTAGAAGTTACTATTAAATGCTGATGAAGGTATATTAATTTAAGCCATGATTATGTATGTCATTTTCTATTTCTAAACAAAATAATTTTTTGGGGGGGGGGGGGGGGGGTCAATTTTTCTTCAAGATTTAAAAAATTGTCAATTTTCCAAAGAAAAATTGTGTGTCACAATTGCTAATTCTTTGTATATCGTCTGAAAACAGATTTACTAAGTATTGCACAACAGCACAGTGTATTGCACAAAAGCAAGAAATTGAATATAAATTCAAATCATAAAACCAATTCTAAGTTCTTTGACTACAGTTATTCTGTGTCAAATATTTAATTACAATCCAAATTCAGACCTGTATCAAGCGGGAATATTGTGTCCATTTTTGCCCCAACTGTTCAGGGTTGGACCTCTGCGGTCGTATCCAGCTGCGCTTGGCGAAGCAATTTATTTGTTAGATATAATCCTTGGTCAGTCGGAGAATTCATAGGTCAAAAAGATTCTGCTACACAGTACACCCTATACACAAAATTTGACCAAAATTTTTTTAAATCAAGCCTACCTACCTCTGAATTCTAGTATTGAATCAGCATTATCCAATAATGAATTCTAATATTGAATTAGCATTATCCAGTAATGAATTCTAATATTGAATCAGCATTATCCAGTAATGAATTCTAATATTGAATCAGCGTTATCCAGTAATGAATTCTGATATTGAATCAGCATTATCCAGTAATGAATTCTAATATTGAATCAGCATTATCCAGTAATGAATTTTAATATTCAATCAGCATTATCCAATTATGAATTCTAATATAGAATCAGCATTATCCAGTAATGAATTCTAATTTTGAATCAGCATTATCCAATAATAAATTCTATGACAACTTAATTTTTTGTTACGAATATTAAATCAGCAGGGATTAGAAGTGGATTTCTTTTAAACTTTTAATTTTGATTTTTCAGATATTGAATCAACAGGAGCTAGCAGTGAATTCTATGATAAATTTGCTATACGATATCATCTTAGTATTATTCTGAAAGTGATGTGGACAATACCAGCTCACCAGAACAGAATGATAGAGGAAGCCAAGTGAGTATTTGTTTTTTCCGAATACTGTTAAATTGTTGTATTATTTATATATATTTTGTTTATGACCAAATGACACAGACATTAACAACTATAGGTCACCATACAGCCTTCAACAATGAGTAAAACCCATACCGCATAGTCAGCTATAAAAGGCCCCGAAATGACAAATGTAAAACACTTCAAACAAGAAAACTAACGGCTTGATTTATATACATAATAATGTACGAAAAACAAATATGATGTATAGCAACAAACGACAACCACTGAATTACAGGCTCCTGACTTGGGACATGCACATGTAGAATGTGGCGGGTCAAACTAAGCTGTGACAGTGGTGTAACAGTACAACATAAGAACAATCTATAAAAATCAGTTGAAAAGGGCTTAACTCATCAGATGGATACATAGTAGAAATACATCTAACAAAAACACAGAGTGGACGTGGCAGGGTACTTATACATCCCCACTACAAAAAGACACTAAGTACAGATCTGAGAGTACTCGCAGTTACTGACAGCTAGTTCAAAGCCAATAAAAACTAATAAAATTAAAAACCAATTGTTCAGAGAACAATTGCAGGTCTTTCCACATAAAAACATGTATTTTAATATGAAAATAGTAAAATTCGTTTTAAAATGTCATTTCCAGCTTCAAATGATAGCTTATTGTATGCTGATTCCAAAAATATATGGTTTCTATACAATATTTTTTAAATAAGGGAGATAATTTGTTACTTCCAGTTTGAAAAATGTTACTTCCGGTATTATTCAAACGTTTAATTGACACTGATACCAAAAATATCTGGTTCTATAAACTTTTACATTAATTAAGTACAAAAAAAAGCTACTTCCGGTTTACACAAGGTCACTTCTGGTTGGCTTTTCTAAGGTTAAATGGCTTGAAACCTAATGCAAAAAGTCCCATGGATTTATCATGTATACATATGAGGTAAAAGCAAAGGTCAAAATCTAGAACGTCAATTAAACCTATGACCTTGAGCTCAATTTCAAGGTCATCAACCAAGGACCTAAAATCAAAAGACCCTAGGACTTAATTATATTTGGTTCATGAGTTATATCACCATATGCATATTTTCAAATAAAAGAGGGGAGAAAACTCTAATTTGATGTAAGCGTACCCTTTAAACCGATATGTATGTGTTACGACATGTCACAACTTACAATTAAGTAAAAATATGTTGTCGATATCTTATATCGTGTTTGAAAAGAGGTGAAAATAAGCCAAAATCCAAATTTAAAAATGACCTTGACCTTTGACCTTGACCCTATTTTCTTTTTTTTGGACCAAGGACCTCAAATCAAAAGACCCTAGGTCCCTATCACTTATGGATTACTAATTACAATTACATTTTACTTATTTTATATACAGAAGGGGAAATAACTCTCATATGGAGTTTCTGGATCGCTTCGGTCAAAATTATTCTTAAGATCCTGAGGATATAACGAACAAATTGGAGACATAAATTTGTCATAATCTTTTACGGTTGCGAAGGAGATGCGTACACAAGAAAAATAGTGTTTGGGGAGATAACTCTTACAATAAAAAGTATTCGGCTAAACAGGGTCAGTTTCAAAATCGCAATAACTGTTCGATATCATACACCAAAAATCTAAGCGACATCTTGCGAAACAAAAAAGCACCGTCAGAAAAAAGTGGCGGAAGAAGAAAAAAATAATAATAATTAAAAACCAATTGTTCAAAGAACAATTGAAGGTCTTTCCACATCAATTTTCTAAATAATTGATAGGAAGCTACTTCTGGTTTACTCAAAGTTATTAATAGCGTCAAAGTATAGATTTCTTCATACTGATTCAATAAATAAATGGTTTCTATATACTTTTGCCTGAAATAAGAGAGATAATTGCCAACTTCCGGTTTAGAAAATGTCACTTCCGGTCTCATATGATAGCTTTATTCACACTGATTCCAAAATAATATAGTTTGTATATACTTATGCCTGTAATAAGAAAGATAATATGCTACTTCCGGTTTATAAAATGTCACTTCCGGTCTCAAATGATAGGTTAACCTATGATCATTAAAAAAATATATGGTTTCTAGGTACTTTTCCATGAAATAAGTGCAAAAAATACTACTTCCGGTTCACTCAAGGTCCCTTCCGATTTACTTTTTTCAAGGTCATATGTCAACCAACAGTTTGCAAAAGACCCTATGGCTTTATCATGTACCAAGTTGGAGTAATAATCAATTAACCTTAAATTGAATCATTTCAGGGACAATAACTCTATAAGATATCATTGGATTGTTTCAGACCAAATATATCATATCTTAATCACAATTAAGCAAACATTTTGCACTAGTTCTTTAATTTGTAATTTTAAAAGTGATAGAGGAGATCAAATAACAAGGAAAAGTCAAAAGTTAGAATATGACCTTGACCTTTGACCTTGGCCTCAATTTCATTTGATGAACCAAGGAACTCAAATCAATATACCTTAGGTCTCTATCACTTACCATTCATGCTATACATTTATATATTTCTTATGTCAAATACAGAAGGGGAAATAACTCTCATATGGAGTTTACGTATTGCTTTAGTCAAAAATGGACAAAACATCCTGAGGATATAACGAGCAATTTGGTAAAATAAATTTGTCGCTTTCTTTTACGGTTACGGAGGAGATGCACGCACAAGGAAAACAGTGTTCGGGGAGATAACTCCTACAAAGAAAAGTATTCGGTTAAGCAGGGTCAATTTCAAAGACGCATAAAATGTTCGATATCATATACGAAACATCTAAGCGACATCTTGCGAAACAAAAATTTATCGCAAGAACAAAATTTGGCGGAAGAAAAAAAAAAAAAAATAATCAGAAGAAAACCAATAGGTCTTTCCACAGAACAGTGGAAAGACCTAATAATAATAATCAGAAGAAAACCAATAGGTCTTTCCACAGAACAGTGGAAAGACCTAATAATAATAATCAGAAGAAAACCAATAGGTCTTTCCACAGAAAAGTGGAAAGACCTAAATATCATGCATCTAAGACTAAAATATCAATCAGTACACATCCAACGTCCAATGGATTTAGAGTAAAGACGTCATTAACAGTCAGAGAAAAACATGACCTTGTGCAATGCCAAGATACAGGTATTGACAGATTGTAGAGCCATAAATGTGCATATGTATATGAAAATGATATCTAGTTTGATGGCTATTGAATTTTTCAAAACATATTCTTCACCTTGAAACAAATGTTCTTACAGCAGTTGAACTGTGGATTTTTTTATTGCATGACAAATATGAATACAAAAAGCTTTTCTAATTAAATAAAACGTTAACGATATTCCTTAGGGCAACTGAGCCATATTGAAGTGAACAATTTTTAATAAGTAAAAAATCAGAGAACCAGTTATGCTGAGAAATGAATTTGTGAAGTTTTGTCTCACGTCGACAAAGTAAAAAAAAGCAAAACTTAGTCGTGCTGTTTCCAGCAGCAGTGGCGCTAACATATTTGTTTCTGATTAAGTGAGTTTATGTTGAACCACTACTGGTAGGTCAATGATATTTGGTATGCAGTTATATTATCATTTACACGACACTTTTCAACCGAGATTACATTGCCCCTCTTCTCATAACGATTCATTGACTGAATTTTTTACATACTGTAAATTCAGAAATTATTGCGTGCATTTATTATTGCGATTTTAGAAGAACTGGACTAAAATGCGAGATTAATTATTGGGATTTCAGGAAAATCTGCATACAGATATAAGTATCAGGTATCAGAATGCGAGTTCTTATTATTGCGATCTTCATCCACTCGCATTATTCGCGTTAATAAAAACCTCGCAATAATTTCTGAATTTACAGTAGTTTACAACGATTCATTGACTGAATTTTTTACATAGTTTACAACGATTCATTGACTGAATTTTTTACATTGTTTACCACGATTCATTGACTGAAATTTTTACATAGTTTACATGTTAATGTTTTATTTCCAGGAAAGGCAAATCATTTGTGAAGTTTGTTAATATGTTAATGAATGATACAACATTTTTATTGGATGAAAGTTTGGACTGTTTAAAACGAATTCATGAAATTCAAGAGGCATTAGAAAATACAGAAGAATGGGAGAAACAATCCAGGGTAAGTTATTAGTCCCCTACCGACGAAGTCAAAGGGGACTTTAGTTTTGCACTCTGTCTGTCTGTCTGTCTGTCTGTCCATCCGTCAGTCCGGCAAATCAGTTTTCCACACTTTTTTTCTTTGTGCTTGAAGATATTGATTTGATATTTGGTATATTGTTTTATCATGACAAGTTACAGATCAAGTTCGACTTTTGTTCCGGTCTGATGATTTTGTGCAGAGTTATGGTCCTTGAACTTAGAAAATTCACTTGAATAATCAGTTTCCACACTTTATTTTCGTCATGCTTGAAGATATGGACTTGATATTTGTTATATAGTTTACACCATGACAAGTTATAGATCAAGATAGCATTTTGTTCCAGTACAATGAATTTTTAACCTGTAGGGGACTATGTATTGCCATGCAATACTCTCAGAATGCTTGTTAGTAATATTATTAAGATTGGGAGAAACAATCCAGGGTAAGATTGTAGTAATATTATTCAGAATGGGAGAAACGATCCAGATAAGATAGTAGTAATATTATTCAGAATGGGAGAAACGATCCAGGGTAAGATAGTGGTAATATTATTCAGAATGGGAGAAACGATCCAGGGTAAGATAGTGGTAATATTATTCAGAATGGGAGAAACGATCCAGGGTAAGATAGTGGTAATATTATTCAGAATGGGAGAAACGATCCAGGGTAAGAGTGTAGTACTATTATTCAGAATGAGAGAAACAATCCAGGGTAAGATAGTGGTAATATTATTCAGAATGGGAGAAACAATCCAGGGTAAGATAGTTGTAATATTATTCAGAATGGGAGAAATTTGAGATAAATACACATAAAGTTATGACTTACAAGATTCTTCATTACCGTAATCGGGCTTGTATAGTTCGCACTGGTACATTGTCCACACCACAAATTTTTCATCTGAGTGATTTTAGGGGTTACCCATTAAGCATCATGGACATTTTGCATATATGAATTGGATATGGCAGAAGACACATGTCTTCCTTGAAAAACTTGTACATTTATCAGTGAATTCAACAAAACTTAAATAAAAGTCAGGACTTGTGTTACTGTATAGCTAATTTCTGGTTTATATTTAAATTAATATTCAGTTGCTAGAATTTATGCAAGGTTAGATGGGGAAAAGTGAGTTAATTACCTCTGTAATGCACATGAAAACACTAGGGACAAGACTGCTAGGTACAGAATGTAATATTTATAATTTATATATTTTCAGGAGCAGCAGCAATCACGACAACGACAACTAGCTATGGATGAAAAACAATGCCGATCATACCTCACCCTTGCCACGGAAACAGTTGATATGTTCCATTATCTTACACAGAAAATTATTGGTCCTTTTCTGGACTCGGTAAGTATATAACGTAAGAATGGTGGGTATTCTTCCATTATCTTACACAGAAAATTATTGGTCCTTTTCTGGACTCAGTAAGTATCTAACGTAGGAATGGTGGATATTCTTCCATTATCTTACACAGAAAATTATTGGTCCTTTTCTGGACTCAGTAAGTATCTTAACATAGGAACGGTGGATATTCTTCCATTATCTTACACAGAAAATTATTGGTCCTTTTCTGGACTCGGTAAGTATATAACGTAAGAATGGTGGATATTCTCCCATTATCTTACACAGAAAATGATTGGTCCTTTTCTGAACTATACAAGTCTCTTACAGGAAGATTTGGTATTGTTTTATTATGTTTAACAGAATTTTTTGTTCTTTTTTACCTCCCCTGTCCTAGAGAGCGCCAGCGTGAACTATTTCCATCTCTTTGCATCATCAGCTGTCATTGGTTTAATTTTACTAAAATTTTCTCCTCTGAAACTAATTTGCCAATCAAAATAAAACTCAGCCAAAATGGCTAACAGCATATAGTTTTGTCAAATGGTTCAACATTGCCAAGCAACAAGGCCACATTGCTAAGAATAGAGCATTGGGGCAAAATGCAAGTTTTTAGGCTATTTTCTTGTAAACTTTAATATTATTAATATATGACAATTTTTGCCCTATTTTGTGTTGGTTTATTGTGTATGGCAAACACTATAGAGGGTAGAGAGAAACTGTTAAATGCAAATTTATTAGCTAATAAATAAATTATACAAAGCAATCATACCACATCTCCTTATTTTATATGATAAAATGAATGTACACTTGCAACTGAATTTGCATGCCTTTTCTTTTGGGAATAAATGCCCCTAAATGATTTTTGGCCAATTTTGACTTTTATGCAATTATCTTGAACTATGACTATAAACAGCAAAATGTATAAGACAAGGTCTCTAACAAAATTAAGTAGTAGTTATTGTCAATCGAATGTTTATTGTCTTAAAAAGACAAACATTTTTTTTGATAGATATCCTCTGAGTAAATCTATAATAAATCTTGTCACAATCTTTCTTAGAGTGTGAAAGAAGGCTGCCGCTGCTGTTTATTATTTTATTGTTACAATTTTTTGCCAGGTAGGGAATTTAGGCTACTTGGAGCCTCTAATTTCCACTTCTTCAGGTTCCTATAAGGACTCATTTAGCAATGTTTAGTGTACTGTTGAATTAACACAGAAATTGTGACTTGTAACATAGATTATAGCAGTATGAGATTAAAAATTACATTATTCAGAACTCTATTTAGATTTAACATCCTTTTACTGATTTTAGCATCTAGATGCTATATATATTTATTCAACTATTGTCTGTAATCTTTCTTTCTTTCTATTCTTTCTCTCTAATCTCAGTATATTGATGAAGTATTGACAGATGTTTTAATTTCAACAACCTGTCTTATTGTAGCATTTAGGTGACAGACTGGCAGCTATGTTAAACTTTAACCTTCAACAGCTATGTGGTTCAAAGTGTAAGAACTTGAAAGTGAAAAACCCAGAGAAATATGGATGGGAGCCTAAAAAACTGCTGGATAGTTTAACAGATATATACCTACATTTAGACTGTGATGCTTTTGCTAATACTATAGCTAATGATGAGGTAACGATTAAGAATGAAATCTCTTATTTATTCATTTGTTGACACTTGCAGGGGACATATCTGTCATATGTGGCTAGTACCAATTTCTTGTAATAAAATGATACAAAATTATATTCATAGGAATACATGCATAAAGAAAAAGTAATTCTTATAAAAATCTACAATGGGAAATAGTTTACTGATGTACTTTTGGAGTTCAAAGTACCACTAGTTAAGTACATAAAAGAATCTCAAGGGAGATAATCTATACACTAAGAATGTTTTTAGCAGACGCCAATCTGTTTGAAGCAATATAAATGCATCACAGTGATTATTGAACAATTCATAGATCTTTGAAGCATAATAGAAAAACAAATCTGTATCTATCACAAATCATATGACTTTTTTACTAAATTGTTCCAGGTTGTATATACAGATAGTACTGGTGATTATTCGTACATATTTAAGGGTTTTAATTACATAAATGATTTATTTAAAAGAGTAAGAAGATATCCTGGGGCAATAACAAATCATTAGTTCAATAAAAACAGATAGCCATGTTTTAAAAAAAGAAAAGATCACAAAAAAAAACAACAAAAACTAAACACTATACAGAAAACAGAAGCTTTAAGAATTTTTTATTAAAAACAATATGTTGTGTTCCCTTAGTCATGCTTTATTCATTAAATGCCAGTTTACAGGACATATTATGGTATACCGTTGTCCGTCTGTCTGTCCGCTGTCAACATATTGGACAATAACTCAAATTCACTTTCACCAATTTTCATGAAACTTTGGTGAATATGTTTATATCTATAAACTTAAGCTCCCTTTTGATTTTTGTCTTTGCCTGCAACGAAAGTCTCGGAAAGCGAGACATAGGCATTGCTTTGACGGGGACGGCGTCAACAATTGTTAAGTTTTCTGCTTAAGTTTGATAGGAACTACTTGTTATAGATCATTGATATTTACTATGAAGTTGCATTACTCTCAGTACATATCAGTTTGATGACTATTTTGAGGCCCTGCCCCCTAGGTCATGGTCCAGTGACTTTGAATTAATAAGCAACTTTCAATGTTAAGTTTTCTACTGAAGTTAGTTTGATAGGATCTACTGGTTATAGATCATTGATATTTTGTATGAAGTCGCATTGCTATCAGTACATATCAGTTTGACGATTATTTCAAGGCCCTGCCCCCTAGGTCATGGTCCAATGACTTTCAATCAATAATCAATTTTCAATATTAATTTTTCTGATTAAGTTAGTTTGATAGGAACTACTGACAATAGACAATATTATCTATAAAGTTACATTGCTGTCTGTACATCTCAGTTTGTCAACCATTTCGAGGCCCTACACACTAGCTGGTCCAGCGACTTTGAATTAATTAGCAATGTTGCTGTCCATCAGATTGTCTTTTTCTGAATTTTATGCCAACAGGAGAGACATATCTCTGTGTCAACAGTTTATTTAAATTTTAGATTTTATGTTTCCGAGTTGTGGGATTTTATTCGTAAAAAAATGTTGGATTTTCCAGTTTTCTGACTATAACTCAAAAATGCTTTGAACAATTTTCACGAAACTTTGGTGAATTGTTTATATATATTAACATAAGTTCAATATCAATTTTTAAAAAATTCTGATTTTACATTTTTGGAGTATTGGGACTTTATTCATAAAAAAGGGGGGATTTTCCAGTTTTCTGACAATAACTCTAAAACGCTTTGAGCAGTTTTGAACTTTGGTGACTTGTTTATGTCTATCGAAATAAGCTCCCTTTTGTTTTTTTTTAAATTTCTGATAAGACATTGCAAAGTTATGGACCTTTATCCATTGAAAATTATTGCAAATTGTCCATTTTACACACTTTGGACGGTTATAGAATTTTATTCGTTCTAAGATTGAGACCACAAACTTAGTTAAACATCAAGTAGCCTTAATAGTGCCAAATTATTCATGTTTTGTGGGTACCACTGTGTCTGCATGTCTTTTGGGGGGGATGGGGAGGGGTCTATTTGAGTAGTGCTTACAGCATTCTAGTTGATCATATACCAGTAAATTCATTAAAAGCATAAAGACAAGCTAAAATGACGATGGCGCAGCTCTTTTTTTTATTTACTATACTATTCTTCAATCATTGAACATATATTAATGATGATTTCTTGATTGACTTGAAAAGAATTTTGTATGCACAACTAATTCAGGTCAAATAGTTTGACTGATATGTGTATACTAAATTTTAAGCCTGGTATATTTGATGACTTTTTACATCACTGCTGCTGGACATTTCTTACCTGAGGAGACTAACAGCCAAGTAGTCAACACTGATGACATACAGTAAATTCAGAAATTAATGCGTGCATTTATTATTGCGATTTTTCAAGAATGAAAAAAAATGCGAGTTTAATTATTGCAATTTCGAAAAAATCTGCATACAGGTCTATGTTTCAGTTATCAGATTGCGAGTTCTTCTTATTGCGATACTCACCCTGTTGCATTATTCACATTAATAAAAACCTCACAATAATTTCTGAATTTACTGTACTTTATCTTTGATTTAGAGATTTTCTGTAAATTGATTGTTAAAAAAATACTAAAATCATTAAATAAACTGTATGGATGATGTCAATAGATTTGGTATATTTTGTATTGTAGAGGTCCTATAAAAAGGAATTGTTTGATGATGCAATAGGTAGAATGAGAAGAGCCAGGATTAAAACTGAACAAGAGATTGATAAATTCCGTAAACTACAAGATAAAGTGGAAGATTTGGTCAGGGACAAAAACTTAGCTGAAACAGACTATGGGGAAATTCCTGAAGAATTCAAAGGTAACATTTTATTAGTTACATCTACTTTGGACATTTGTTTATATAATATAGTGTGTTTTTATTTGGTTCTATACAAATGATATTTAACATTTTCCAGCCTGTTTGTCTGTCCCATATCATGATAAGTTTTGGTTTAACATTTTCCAGCCTGTTTGTCTGTTCCACATCATGATAAGTTTTGGTTTAACATTTTCCAGCCTGTTTGTCTGTCCTGTATCATGATAAGTTTTGGTTTAACATTTTCCAGCCTGTTTGTCTGTTCCACATCATGATAAGTTTTGGTTTAACATTTTCCAGCCTGTTTGTCTATCCCACATCATGATAAGTTTTGGTTTAACATTTTCCAGCCTGTTTGTCTGTCCCATATCATGAGAAGTTTTGGTTTAACATTTTCCAGCCTGTTTGTCTGTCCTGTATCATGAGAAGTTTTGGTTTAACATTTTCCAGCCTGTTTGTCTGTCCCGTATCATGAGAAGTTTTGGTTTTATATTTTCCAGCCTGTTTGTCTGTCCCGTATCATGATAAGTTTTGGTTTAACATTTTCCAGCCTGTTTGTCTGTCCTATATCATGATAAGTTTTGGTTTAACATTTTCCAGCCTGTTTGTCTGTCCTGTATCATAATAAGTTTTGATTTAACATTTTCCAGCCTGTTTGTCTGTCCTATATCATGATAAGTTTTGGTTTAACATTTTCCAGCCTGTTTGTCTGTCCTGTATCATGATAAGTTTTGGTTTAACATTTTCCAGCCTGTTTGTTTGTCCCGTATCATGATAAGTTTTGGTTTAACATTTTCCAGCCTGTTTGTCTGTCCCACATCATGATAAGTTTTGGTTTAAGGTAGTTTACCATGAATTAATGATTGTGTCAGCTTTAAACTTAGTACCTGTTCATAATGGAGTGAAATTTTTGAAATGTATGGCAAATTAGGTTTCAGATAGTTCAAGAAAATATAGATAAACACTCAGTTTTGTTAGTTGCAATTTTGTTACAGATATCTCTATATATTTTCAGATCCTTTAATGGACACTTTACTAGATGACCCTGTGATATTACCTAGTGGAACAGTCATGGAAAAGTCCATTATAATGAGGCATTTATTAAATTCACAAACAGACCCATTCAATAGACAACCTCTTACAGAGGATGAATTAAAACCAGGTATATATGACCTTACAAATATCCCTTCAGTAGACAACCATTTGTAGAAAATGAAAACAACATGTTATAAATATCCTACGTCTGAAGCACTTTATTGGATTTACTTTCATCAGGAACGCTCAAAGTGGAATATATGACCAAAAAGGACCTAAAAAAGTAGCCAAATTTATCTAAGATTAACTCTCTAAGAGAGTTGAAACCTTAGTTTCTTTTAATTTCAAAATTTATCAATGGACATTTTAGAAAAGTATGTTATAAATCATGTCAGTACCGAAGTACTGACTACTGAGCTGATGATACCCTCAGAGACTGATAGTCCACCAGCAGAGGTATCCACTCAGTGCTGTATAAATTTCATGCGTCCGAAGCGTTTTTCTGGATTTACCTTCATCAGGAACGCTCAAAGCCGAATATTTGAAAGATATGAATGTATAATAACCTAAACAGTTGAAGAGCTATATGACCAAAAAGGACCTTAAAAAGTAGCCAAATTCATCGAAGATCAACTTTGCCTGAGGGAGTTGAATCCATTGACCTTACAAACAGACCCATTCAATAGGCAACCTCTCACAGAGGATGATTAAAACCAGTATTAGACTAAGAATATGGTATAAAAAGAACATTTCTGTTAAAATAATTTATGGGTGAGGAGATTGCACCACTGTAAATTTTTCTGAAAACAGTCATAAATTTTGCCAAATTGTGCAAAAATTCAGGTTTTAATGAAATTCAACAACATTTATGGCGTCACAAATACATAACTAAAGACGCAATTGTTGAAAATCTTCTTTAGCTGAAACAATTGGACATTTTAATATATGTTTTCAACAGGTTTTCATACATTATTGCAGTTAATAATTTTCAGATTTTTATGGCCAAAATATGAGTAAGTGAATCAACTCCTTTATTCTCTGCATAAATAATAATGAAATTTTAGCCACTGGATGTTTTAAAAACAAACAACAATTAAAAAGGCAATATCTGTCTAAAAACATTAAAATAATGAAGTTAGAATCTAGTAAAAATTTACAAAACATTTATTGGAAGAACTGAATTTGTAATGTACAGAAAATCTAATATATAATGTGAAACTAAAATTAAAAGTTACCGTATATATACCTCTATTTATAGCTACAGATCTCAAGAAGAAAATTCAACAATGGAAGATTGAGAAAAGGAAGTCAAAACGTTAGAATGATTGAAATGTTTGTTATGGGAATGGATGAACTGTCATGGATGTTTGTCAGAAAAACTTTTGTCGATTTATCCGTGAAATATATGGACTATTTCAAAGATTATGCTTTTGTCATAACTGACAGCTGTATGGACCATCTCAAAGATGATTCTTGGCTGAAATAATTCATTTACTTTTGTGAATGTGGATGGATTGTATGACAGGTCAATTTTCTCTGATCTGTAAAAATAATAAGGATTTAAAACCATAATATTTTAGCTACAGGCTTAAGTTGGAGTAACTTTTTATCATAAGATGTCAAAACATTTCACTTGGTAGCATTTATTTTACTAGAAAAAGATTTAGCATTTGATGTGTCATAAAGAGAAAATAGTTCAAAATGGTTAATCTACATAACTTTGAATGTAGTAGTTATTACTTCTGAAATGTTTGTCTTAATATAAAGTGTTAGAATATACAACAGTCTATAAGGAAATTAATGGCTTCAGAAACAGTGAATCTTTATGTACAATAGGTTTAGGTTGGTTATATGTATTACAGTTAGTCAATGATGACTGTAAAAAACCAAATCACTGACATGCCAAATGTTATAAAGATTTTTGTACTTTGTCTTAGGTGTGATATATTTTATGGGTCCCATGATCTTTGTTCTTGATGTCAAATAATGTTTCAATCTGATTTAGATACAGATCCCATGCCTTACTAACAAGGATCAGATAAAGCTCACTTCTACTTTCTGTTTAAAAAACCTTTCGGGATCCTCTGGATTTGTCATAATGATTCTCACCTTCAGAAATTTCATTGACTAAAAAAATGTAATAATTACAAGCACAGTAAGAAGGAAGGAGTGTTGTCAGATCCTTGTAAACAAAAAGTGGACACAGGATCTGTATTTTAATAAGATTGTTGATGTTTTGAAATGTTCCATGACATGTAAATGTTGTGTATTTATTTGAGAGAACATCAGAGCTATAAAATAGCTATCGTTCTTATTTAGCTTTTGTTTGTTCACTTTTCTCTGACTCCTGAAGAAGTAACAAAAGATAATATCATTTGTAAATTACATTTTATGAGTGTCAATGTGCAATCTGGTTTGTAGTTGTTTAGTTTCCTTATTAATAAGATTTGATTCTTTCAAAAGAATTTTGTGTGCAAATAAAGAATAAGCATGCTTTTCCTGGGATTAGGGCATTTATAGTTTTCCAAGCGAAGGGTATGAAGCCTTTGAAGTAATTAATTTTAATAGCTACTACATTTTGTTTAATAAGTCTGTCAACACTGAAGTTGCAAGTTCAAACCATGCTCTTGGCAATGTGTGTTGTTAGACTTTGGTCTTAATTGACTAGGAGCAAGAATAGAGATTTTTAAATGTTTCATTTTACAAATATCTGTTAAAAAGATTGGACTATCTCATCTTTATGTAAGGGAATATTGACATTGGACATACACCAGTTGTTTCTGTCATGGACTGTTCTCGTATGGGATAAGGATAGGTATGGAATCCATTATTCTTCTCAACTGATAAACAATGATATTGAGGATGTTCGCTACTCTGTTTCAAAATAACAAGCTTTTTAAAAGACTGTTATAAATAGGTAGTACTTAAATAAAGAAACTAAAAAAGCAGAAAAAAATAATGGGTTAGCGTGCTTGTTTTTGAGATATAAGCCTTTGAAATTTTTTGGGAAATGATTCTCTCTAGATTTTTCATACATTTAACATTGACACCTTTTTTCTTTCAAAAACGATGAAAAAATAACAAGGATTTTATAAGATTTTCAAAGATGACATTTCAAACTATATGTAATAAAATTATGGAAAGAAAGATAGGGGTTAGTGGGCAAAATTTTTAATGGCACTACATGGATAAAACCAGAGGATTCCGTAAATCTGGCAAACATTCAAAAACAAGAGGAGCGAACATACTTAAAAGACATTTTTTTGGCTAATTATTCTTATTTGAGATCAAGAATAACCTGCATTTTCCAATCTGAAAAGCTCACGATTTGTTGGCCTAATTATTTATAAGAAATACATCATGATCAGTCTATTTTGCTAAAATGTTTTGTGATACAAACTTTAAGGAGTGTTTATAAAGGCATTTTAATGTATATGAATGGACATGGAATAGATATGTGTGAATATGTGTGTTAATATGCTCAGTTTTGTTTTCCTTTTTCTTTATTGCATAGAAATTATATAAGTTTGATACTATATATATACATCTGGTCAACATGTCTGTTATTACAAACAAAATAAAAATCTACAGGAGTGAAAGAAAACTACTATTATACTAACCAATCTCCCATTGTGTACACATTATAACATTAATCAGTGCACAAAAACACTTGTTGATCAAGTGGTATACATAGTGCCATTGATGTTAAAATGTCCAATATTGCAGGCTGTGGAATATCAATCATCTATCTTTTTCTCTCAATCTACTTGCCAACTTTAACAATTTGGTTTTGATTAAATGAAAAATTTAGCCCCAAAATTTTGGAATAAGATTGGCCAATTCAAAAGTTAACCTTAGAAAGAAAGGAGTGAAATATTTTGTCACTATTTTGGGATTGATATTTACATATTATCCTCTTTGAAAGTTGGGCAGTTTTAAACATAGTATAATTGTTCCCATTGAAACCTGAAAAAATAAATAAATTTTTATTCATTTCATGGTTTTTATGGGTTCTTCAGTAATAATTTACAGAGTCTCAAGTCTCTTTAATTAGATGTGTATACATCTTTGTGATATACATACATTATTTGATTTAAAACTATGTACCAGCAACACTGATGTATGACCTAATAAAATATTACAGTTTCTTTCAAGTATTTCTACTTTATTTCCCATGTTTTTGTGCTACCTATACTTTATTGGCTCACATGTGAAAACGTAATGGAAGCTTGACATAATGATTTTGCATTCTTTTGGCCTAGTGAACATTTGTGTTAAAGGAGAATGACGGGGGGAGGGGGGCATTTGACTACCCAAAAGGGTCTTGCATGGTCAGTGCTAAAGGATAATTGCTTTCTCAGTAGATACATATTTGGTTCAAATTAACTTTCAATGTTCAGCACTAATCCAAAATACTGGTTAAAATAACTTTCAGTTTACAATTAAATTCTTAAGTTCAGATCCAGAATACTTGGTCCATGTAAATTCCAAAGTACTTGGTCCATCTAAATTCCAAAGTTCAGGACCCATCCATAATACTTGGTCCAGCTTAATTCCAACGTTCAGGACCAATCCGGAATACTTTGTCCAGCTGACTTCAGATGTTTAGCCCAATCCAAATAATAGTTCCAAGTTAAAAGGAATATTGTGCTCCAGTCCAAAATAATCGGCCCAGTTCCAATGTTAAAAAAAATGAATACAACACGTTATAAATTTCATACGTCTGATGCGCTTTTCTGGATTTACCTTCATTAGGAAAGCTCATAGTCGAAATTTTAATAGGCAAGGATGTATAAGAAATGAAATAAAAGAGGGACGAAAGATACCAGAGGGACAGTCAAACTCATAGATCGAAAACAAACTGACAACGCCATGGCTAAAAATAAAAAGACAAACAGACAAATAATAGTACAGATGACACAACATGGAAAACTAAAGACTAAGCAACACGAACCCCATCAAAAACGAGGGGTGATCTTAGGTGCTACGGAAGGGTAAGCAGATCCTGCTCCACATGTGGCACCCGTCGTGTTGCTTATGTTATTACAAATCTGGTAAATAGTCTAATTCGGTAGGTCACATTCGTGAAAAGGGAAGGGTATTTTAGTTACGACATAAGGAACATATCCGATATCATCTGTGAAACGGTTATTCCATAACGGTCAACCAACTCGTGATGGCGTTCATAAAATTTACGAAGGGATGATTTCAACTTCACCATTTGGAACTCTTGGTTTAATGGCTTCCTTTTGAGCAGCAATCCTCTATTAAGGAAATCATGATAGGAAATACAAGCCTGTGAATATCGTATCAATTGGGAGATATATACTCCGTATGCAGGCGCTGCTGGAATGTTGCTACATAGAAATGGAAAGTTCACAATTGGGAAGCTGAAATCATCTCTTGTCGTAAAGTTTTGTTTTCAACCGACCCTCATTGTCAATTTCTAGATGTAAGTCAAGATATGAGGCAGACTTAACTGTATCTGTAGTATCCTTTATCTCTAGTTCGATGGGATAGATTCGTTCAACATAGTCACCAAATTTTGTATTATTTAGTCAGAGAACATCTATATGGCGGAACGTAAAGTTAAAGGACATTGCTAACTTCTTATCTTTCTTCCTAAGAAGTTCCTGTATGAATTTCAGCCTCATAATAATAAAGAAACAAGTCGGCAAGAAGAGGGGCACAATTGGTTCCCACTGGAATTCCGACTGTCTGTTGAAAAACACGTCCTCCAAACGTAACAAATATGTTGTCAATCAAGAAATCAAGCATCTTGATAATGTCAGTTTCAGAGAATTTTTTGTTTGAATCGGAGTGATTCTTTACAAAGTAGGATTTATCCCTCCCCAAGACAAGATACTTGTATCTACGTTCGCCATTCTTTTTAATGAAACAAAGTAATACCAACTCTTTCAATTTGTCTTTTAGTTTGGAATGGGGAATACTTGTATAAAGTGTAGAAAAGTCAAATGTTTTAATACTATTGCAAGATGAGTGAGTTTTAGATTGTATGTACTCTAAAAGATCTTTGGAATTGTTGAGTATCCACATTTGATTCACACCACCTCTAGAATAGGCAGTTTCACAATAATAATAGAAGAGCTTTTATATCAAAAGGACTTAAAGAAATAGTCAAATCCATCCAAGTCAACTATGCCTGAGGGCATTAAAACCTTGTCCTTTTAATTTCAAAATTTATAAACCAACGCATTTGGAAAGGGTTGTTATAAATCATGTCAGTACCGAATTACTGACTTCTGAGCTGATGATACTCTTTGGGACGGATTGTCCACCAGTTCAACACTCAACCAAGATATATAAGAGATCAAGTTAAAATGTTCAGCACAAATTAAAAAAAAAATCTAGTCCAGTTCAAATGTCCACCACTTAACCAAAATTCTGGATGCTGTTTAAATGTTCAACATCTCTAATTTTCAGCTTCAGTTTCTAATACTTGGTCCATATCAAATTTTCAACATCGGTCAAAAGGACTCAGTCTAGCTCAAATGTTAACCAATCCAAAATACTTGGAGTAGTTCAAATGATCAGCACAAATCCAAAATACATGGTACTTTTTAAACGTTCAGTACCAATGTAGCATACTTCCCGTTCAAATATTCAGCGTCAATCCAAAATACTTGTATATAAAATAAGGAGATGTGGTATGATTGCCAATGACTACACAAAGCCCAAAAAAAAAACTAGCATAAAGATAAAAGACACAAAAGTGCAGATTTTAGAGTATTCGCAGTAATTAAAATTCATTTCAAAACCAATAACAACTAATGAATAAATCGAGTTCTTCTTACTAAAGTATCACTTCGTTAAGTTCAAACGTTTAAAACCAATCCAAAATCCGTGGTCAAATTCAAATGGTAATGGTAACATTTCAAAATACCTTGTCCCGTTTAAATGTTCAGCACTAATCAAAACTCCTTGCTCCATTTCAAATAATCAACACCAATCTAAAACACCTCGTTCAGTTCAAATGCTGACCAATTCCAAATACATGGTCCAGTTCAAGTATTCCACATCAATCCAAATGACTTGGTCCAGTTGAAATGTTCAACAAAAACACAGAATTCCTTGACCACTTTAAATGATCATTAACAATCCAAAATACTTGGTCAATTTAAAATGTTCAGCATCCAATCAAAATACTTAGTCGATTTCAATATTCATCAGCTTTCTCGGTAAGTTAAATTGTTCCAACAACAATCATAAATATTTTGCCCCTTTAAATGTTCGGTACCAATCCTAATGATTTGGTCCATTTCAAATGTTCAACATTAATCTAAAATACTTGGTCAACAACAATTCAAAATACTTGGGCTTATTTCAATACACGGTTAGTAGTGGTGTTACGTCCCTTTATAAAAACAAAACGGTACTGAGAAAAAATCATAAAGGTTTCAACAGACGAAGAAATTGATGATGAAAGATTGAAATAAATTCAGAAAACACAAGCTAACAAGATGTTATTGTTGGCATTTGTTTTTTTGGATGACCAATGGGAGTAGTTTCTTAATGCTAACGGTATTGAAGACTTGCTCACTTTGATAGGTCACTAGTCTAAATACCACATGTTAAGATAGTCGGTAAGATAAATTCGTTACACAGTGTGCTAGTGACGTAATACTGTATATATGGGGTCAGTAAATACCATATGGGGATTCGAGCTTCGCTATCACCCCATATGGAATTTACTGACCCCATATATACCGTATTAGGTCACTAGCACACTATGTAACTAATAATACAAATCCTTGGTTTTGTTCATTATGAAAATTTGCAAATTCATCATTGTTGGGCTTAATATCGTCTGCACGTACAAAATTTCAATCCAGGTATCTATGATGAGTTTATTTATCAGACAACAATTGTTACTAGTTACATCTAATCAATTTCAAAAGTCAACATTCTATATAGAACGGATGTTGCATTGTGCAAAAACATTAACAATCAATCAAATTTGTTCCATAGCCTATATATAAGGTAATGAGTCTGTTAAATATCTTGATGTCTTTACTATGTGTCGTGTTGGTTTAAAATGTATCAGTGCTATGTGGTTGACGACAGACAATATCTGATATCCGAATTTAAAGTAAACATTACATATAGAAAGGGATATGCATTAGTGTTCAAAAAACTTCTTATCAAATGATTTACATAAACGTAATCACCGTTTGAGAATACTGTATGATGTTAAGAAAAGTTTTGACACACAAAAGGTTAAAACGTAACCAAATATTTTAAATCGAAGTCCATGAAAAAGATTGAACACTTTAAGAAACAAAAACCTACATCATTACTTTGTAGACCAAAAGTGATGGACACTTGATATATTTGCATTGATTTGCATATATATATATACTGATAATCTTTCAAGCACATTCATATTTCTGTAGTCTTCTTCCAGCACCTAACAAGTTCTGTATACATTCATAAAAAAAAGAAATTTCTCTAGCCTCAAGCTGATCAAAGTGTTATTGTTTTACCAGCGGGACACGGACGTGTGGAAATCATTTTATAAGAAGAAAAAAAGTTAAACAAGAAATGTTAGTTATAGGATTGGTAGTAATAATCATGTGGAATTTGATCGGTACGTATTATACAATAGAATGATATTTATATAAAAGCTACTGCTGACAAGTAACATACATATCTCTATAAAAATACATTTTAGTATTAAGGTGGTACCCAACACCTTGACTAATATTAATTTGGCTCGTTTAAAAATTCACTGGTTATATAGCAGTTTGACAAACACTAATTTTGATCATTGAGAAGCTTAATATTTCCTTAACAATACAATGTGATTAAAACGTTTAGTTGATTTTTAAAGAGTTATTTCCCTGTAGTGTTAGGTACCACCTTAAGTTACTGAATATTTGCATTATCTTTATTAATAGAAAGCACGGATATTAAGGTAGCACGGTAGTATTTGCATTCCAGAATTTAGGTTGCTCTTTTGTGTACCCTACTTAAGTCAATGTATCTGAACATTATGATTGGACAAAAAATACAGTATCAACTGAACATACTTTCCCAAACTGAGGGATGAATCAGGTGTAGAAAAGTATGAAATAATTTTACATACAGATGAAAATGAATTTTTGAGAATTTTTTTAAATTTTGTATT